TTGCAATATTTTGCCGATTAATGAAGTTCATTTGTACTTAATATTGGAATACTTCGCAAAAAGTACAAAGTGTACCAATCGATCATTTTATTTTCCCTATGTTGTTGGTTTTTTTAGAGCAAAAAGCACAAAATTGTATTTGGATAACCGGTTGCTCTAGACACATGACCAGAGAAGACCTTTCAAAATTCTCAACATTTCACAAACGGGAACACGAGCATGGCTCCTACAGTGACAACAATAAAGGAAAATATTTGGCTATGGGATTTTAGGTAACTCTTCAACTATATTAATTGAGAATGTATTATATGTTGATGGGTTGAGACATAATCTCCCTAGTATTAGTCAACTATATTCATTAGGCACGAGGGTTCAATAGCTGAAATTGGTTGGTTTTGTAAATTTGATTCAACATATCAAGTTCAGAATCAAATTCTTATTAGGTGTTGTTTGGTATGCGGGTTCTTTTTGAAATCTTGAGAAAGTAGGGTGGCAAAAATTATTTTCCCACGTTTGGTAGGAGGAAATATAAAAATATTCCTAAGAATTTTTTTTTTTTCAGATTCAAAACCAAAATACCATGGGTGTGCATGACAACCTTCCCAGAATCATTTTTTTTTTAATTTATGTTCCCGGAAACAGAAATGGTTAGAAAATTCATTTGGTAAAATCAGTTTATTTTTTTGTTCCCGGGATGAAGTAGTTTAATTTTTGTGCTGGGGAACAGAAAAAAGAATCAGAAAATTTCTATTTTTTGTTCCCGGGCAAAAAATGAGAAACTCTTATCTCTCTCAATCACTCTCCACCTCTACCATCATCACCACCACCACCATCCCGACACGACCACCGCCACCATTGTTGCCGCCTCCGTTGTACAACTAGTGCCATCATCACCACCGCCCACCACGACGATGCCACAGCCACCACCACCACCACCACCTCCATCCATCACTACCACCATGTCATCGTCACCACCACCACAACTACCACAGCCCCTGCCACCACCACCACCACCACTACCACTATCACCGTCACATCACCACCACCATCATCGCAACCACTGCCACCACTACCACCACCACCACGCCACCGCTACCATCACCATCATTGTCACCAACCACCACTACTATTGCTACAGCCACTACCGTAACCGCCGCCGCCGCGCCACCAACCACCACCACTATCGCCACCTTTACCCCACCCCGCCACTACCACGACCATCACCTACTGCCATTGCCGCAACCAATGCCACCACAACCATGATGCCATCACAACCACTACCACCATACCATCGCTACCATTGTTGCTGCCAGCAACGCCACTAACCACCATCCCCACCACCATTGTAACTGCCACTGCTGTCACCTCATCCCCACCATTACCACCGTCGCCGCCACCATTATCACTGCCGTCACAACCATTACCACGTTACTGTCACCACCACTACCGTACCGCCGCCGCCATCACCACCACCATGCCACCCCGGCCACCACCACCACCACAACCACACCATATGGAAAGGAAAGTGATGATTCGAAAAAGATTTATATTTAATAGGAATTATTTGTTGTGTTATCAAACACAATTCTCATTCTCGAAATAAAAAAAGAACATGTTATCAAGCGCATTTTTTTTCTCAGAAACTGTTCCAAGTCATAGAAATAGAAAAAAATTATTTCTTTTCAAAAATAGTGCTAGGGAATAGATTGGTTGTCATGCACACCCCATCTCACCCATGGTATTTTTTTCACCACACTCTGGCAAAGTGAAAACACATTTCTCAACCAAAATACCCTATTCCTCTTCTTCGCCGAACCCAACCCTCTATCACCAGACCACTATCACCCTCGCCAGTGACTTGAGCCACCAAATCCCTAGTAGTCACCATTGCAAAACGAGAACCCATTTGACCCCACAACCACCGTCTTATCCTTTGTTTTCACCAAGACACTCAAAACTGATACCTATTTCCCTCACCTCCATCCCCATTATTGACCGGTCCATTTCACCTTCACAATTTTCCCTTCTCAGCCAACACCCCAAGCCACCACGCATCCTTTTTAAAACTATTGTCTCCACCATTCGCATTACCACGTTCATTTCATTTCTGTTGTGTCCCACAACTTTCTGGGAATGAGGAAACGAAGGAGAAAGAAAAAAAAGACCCCGTGAGAGACAGGAAAATATTCAAAATCCAGGGTAATTTTATAATTTCGGTCCAGATTTCCAGCAATATTTTATAATCAACCAAATATAGCATATTAACCCAACATTCTTAGGAAAATTTTGGTCTATTAAATAATTTTTTGATAATATTCTCAAAAATATTAATTTCCTACCATATTCCAGAGAATCATAATTCTTAGGTAAAATTTTTTTTTCCTCTACCAAATGTTCTTTGCAGTTAAAGCTAGAATATTAGCATCAATTCTACTTGCATGCGGAAGGAACTTTTTGCTACTATTTTTTCGTGCTTACAAGTCGATGTTTTTTTTTCACTCAGGAACACACTTAATTAGTGTTTTATTTAAGAGTAAAAAGAAGAAAAGTGGGGTTTTATGACTATGTAGAACAAAATGTATAACTACTCACCATTTAATTTATTTATTTTTTACAAACGTTTTTTCCAACCAATATAATGTGTATTGTGGCAGTCGCGCATTACCTTTACCCTACGTGTAACGCCCTGACTTACGGAAATATTTACACTGAAATAAAAAAAAATACATAACTACACTGAACTATACATACATTTATTACAAACTGTGATTCACAATTACAAAATACTAACACTATTCAACATCATTACATAACCAAACAAAATACGTTGTCCACTGTATATACATCATAACATCTTTATCTGTATTGTTATTCTTGATCTAAAAATCTGAAACAAAATCCCCAACAGAAATGAGATGCGAATCTCAATAAGAATCTAGGGAAACAACTTCCTATTTTAACCAAATAAACTCAATCAAATACAAATGATATTCGTAAGTTCTGACATACACACCTTTATTATCAATTAATCATGTGAAATACTCAAATAATAAACAAATACATAAATTGTATGGCGTTACGCCGCATATAGATAATAAGCTAATTTTTAAACCGCGTATATATATATATATATATATATATATATATATATATATATATATATATATATATATATATATATATATATATATATATATATATAATATATATATATACTGAGATAACTCTGTGTGACCTTGTGCCTCTCATATATAGGTAAAAGGAATCATATTGATACGCGCATTGCAATAATATGAATAATGATGGCATTTTGTTTTTATTAATCATATTGGGAAAAAATGTGTATCATTTTAAATGATATAAAATTATATTATTTTAAGAGAAAGAGATAAATCATGAAGAAGAGAGAGTATGATTTTTTTTTCTCTTTCTCCCCATAATTTCTTTTTTTTTCTCTCTCTCTTAAAAGAACCGTTCTTTAAAATAATACACATTTTTTCATCATATTAATACTGCACAACGCGTTATTATTGTAAAGCACAACCTGTTACTGCTAATGGACCCTATTCTGCTCGAGTTGTTCAATCAACATAGTTCTATAGAAGAAAAATCTTGGACCTTTCATACGAGAGTCTACATCGCTTTGTTGCTGCTATGTTACTTTCAATTCTTCTTCATGTAATTGGTTCTGGCATTTATTTACTTATAATTAATAATATTATTTTTACTCTCATCTCAGTTGGTAGATGGCGGATCAGACCTGTAATCCTAAGCAGAGGTGTGAAAAAAATTAAATCAACCAAATCCAACCTTCAACCTATTTAAACCACATTAAAATAATTAATTTTTATAATCAATTTAAGAATGAAATCATTTTTTAAAATCAGTTAAAGAATCGGTTCGTGCCAAAAATAAATCAACCAAACAATATCCACTCATAAGAGTAAAAAAAAATAGAACTGGAATAATTAAATTAATTTTTAAAATCGATTTAGTTTTTCCAAACCGAACACCCCCTAATAGAAAGTTAGTTAGTTGAATCATAAGAATTATGTATAAGATTTCTTATTTTTTTTACGCCGATGCAAGAATAACCTTGCCACTATTATAAAATACTACATATTAATAAAAATAAAGTTATTGCACAGGGTTTAAAAAACACTAACTTTATTCTACCAAATTTTTTTGTTTAACTTTTCCCAGAAATAATTATTGATGTTGCTAACGAAGTTTTACGAAAATTTAAGTTAAGCATGTAACCATTAAACATAACTATATGATTAATTTGCTAAAAGAAATAATTGAATTTTATTTGTGTTTTATTCCATGTATGAGGAAATGGACAATTATTTCCACAATTCTCTCATGGATACATATGTATGATAATTGAATATGACACTTGAATGAGAGTTAGACCAGTAATTACGGGGTACACATGACACAACACAATTGCGAATGTTTCGATTCCGAGTGATATATTGTCATATTAATCTATAATTAAGAAGTCTTCGTAACATTGCAAAAGGGATATTGAGTTTATGAATCATCTTAACAAATGTTGATTATTATGAATACAAGAGGGATAAATTCTTCAAATTTATTTTCTAAATAAAAGGAATTAAGTTTGGATCTCTTGTTAATTAGTTCGTCCCCCGCCGACAATTTTGAAGCCAACGAAACTATTTCCTGAGGGCTAACAGAGAGAAAGGCCATAGGGAGTTAGGGACAAGGAAAAAAAAGACACGGAAAAGGTAAAGGGCCTTTTGCACCGAAATTACTAGGTAGAAATGAGGGAAAGAGTAAAGAAAGCAAAACCATGTGGTTCCGTACGTGCATTGCATGGCAATAATGATGTGATGGCATTTTCTTTTTCTATTTAACTTCTTGCGCATTTGTGCCTGAGCTGTTCAATAAACACACTTCTACTTTAGCAAATATTTGATAAATCTTTGGTTCTTCTCTGCAGTGTCTATCTCGCATTAGGTGCAGCTATGGAAAGTATTCCTGTAATACATACTCAGAATATCATTCATTAAATACGGTAAAGAGTAACACTTTTATATATTAATTTTATTTTTATGATTATTTTCATTTTTATTTTCTTTTTCGCAGAGAAGAATATACTGATGTTGTACCGAAAATGAGCTCACTGCTATGCTCCTTCTTTTAACTTCTTTCCATCCTAATCTATGCAATTGGTTCATGTTCATGCCTTTTATTTATTGTTTTTCATTTACTTATGTATAATTGACACTAATATTTCCTTTCAACTCTTGTTTTTAATTGGTAGATCGATGGCGAATCAGAACCGTAATCATGTTGCAATACGCATTGAAAACATACTGGACAATGCAGTGTCTCCCCTTACAACTAAATGTTGCATCTATAGGATTCCCCATGGAATACGCAATTTAAATAGTGATGCATACACTCCGAAGGTTGTTTCAATAGGCCCTTTTCACCATGGTAATCCCACACTGAGAAACATGGAAAGCCACAAACTGAAATACTGCAAAGAATTCAGAGAACGAGTTCAGACAAACTTTGACGATTTGGTCACTCTTGTGCGAGACTTAGAACCAGAGTTTCGTCTTTATTACTCTGAGGACATTCAACTTAGCAGGGAGGAACTTGTCAAACTGATATTGGTGGATTCCTGTTTCATATTTGAGCTTTTCTTAACTTTTGAGTCAACAGATGATGATGGTATCCCATTCAAACGTTGGTTGAAAAGTAGTATAGCATATGATTTGTTTTTACTTGAGAATCAACTTCCTTTTAATGTTCTTGATAAGCTCTACAATCTAGCTTCTCCTTCGCCTGATTTCCCTTCATTTTTGGTTCTCACTTTTCATCGTTTTACTGAACCTGACTCACCTTATAGAGATTCTCCTCCTAGCATAAAACACTTCACAGATATGTCAAGAATCTTTTACTTACCACCATCTCCTTATATACTACCTCCAAGGGAGGATGAACTACTAACACACCTTCACAGTGCAACTGAGTTAAAAGAAGCAGGAATAAAGTTTAGGAAGAGAGAAAGCGATTTAATAGACTTGAGTTTTTCACAAAGTTGTCTTGAAATCCCAAATTTGACTGTGGAGGATGATACTGAAATTCAGTTTCGGAATATGATTGCTTTGGAGCAATTCCACTACCCCAATGAATCCTACATCACTGATTATGTTGTATTCCTCGATTACCTCATCAACACAAGCAATGATGTGGATATTCTGGTTAAAAAGGGAATAATCACTTGCATGTTAGGTGATAAGAATGCGGTAGCTGAATTGTTCAATGGTCTCATTCCAATTGCTGTTATAAAAGTTATTAGTATTTTTGTCATTAAAAGATATTTTTGACTGGTAATTATTCCAAAAAAAACTATTAATTCTGCAATAAAACCGCTCATGCCCGGCAATGCAAGAGAAGCCATTGATAAAATACTGAAAACGGTGAATATTTTTGGCATTGGGATAGCCATTCCGCCCATTTCTTCAAGATAAAGAAGACGTAGTCTATCATAACTGGTTCCCGCCAAGAAAAAAAGTGCAGCACCAATAAATCCATGAGAGATTATTTGTAAAATGGCCCCGTTAAGTCCCGCATCGCTTATCGAACTAATTCCTATAATGAGGAACCCCATATGAGATACTGAGGAATAAGCTATTCTTTTTTTTAAATTTCGTTGACCAAGAGATGTTGAAGCTGCATAAATTATTTGAATTGAACCTAATATCATTAACCAGGGGCAAAATATATAATGAGCATGGGATAATAATTCCATATTAATTCGAACCAATCCATACGCCCCCATTTTTAATAAAATTCCGGCTAAAAGCATACAGGTGCTGTAATGTGCCTCTCCATGGGTGTCTGGTAACCATGTATGTAAGGGTATAATCGGCGATTTGACAGCAAAAGCAATAAGAAAGCCCCAATAGAATATTATTTCGAGGGCCACGGGATATGATTGATTAGTTAATGTTTCAAAATTAAATGTTGGCTCATTAGAACCATATAAACCGATACCCAGAATTCCTATTAATAAAAAAACAGAACTTCCCGCAGTGTACAAAATAAACTTTGTAGCCGAATACAAGCGTTTCCTCCCCCCCCACATGAATAAAAGTAGATAAATGGGAATTAATTCGAATTCCCACATGATGAAAAAAAGTAAAATGTCTCGAGAAGAAAAGAGTCCTATTTGACCGCTATACATTGCTAACATCAGGAAATGGAATAATCGGGATTCTCGAGTAACCGGCTGAGCCGCTAAAGTAGCTAAAGTGGTGATAAATCCCGCCAGTAAAATAGGTCCTATAGAGAGTCCATCTATTCCAAGTCTCCAATAAAAATCTAAAAAATGGATCCATTTATAATTCTCTCTCAGTTGGATTAATGGATCATCCAATTGGAAATTATAACAAAATGTATAGGTTGTTAGAAGAAGATCTATTAAGCATATACAAATAGTATACCACCTAATTACCTTATTTCCTCTATGAGGAAATAAGAAAATTAAGGAACCCGCGGCTATTGGAAAAACCACAACTATTGTTAACCAAGGAAAAAAAAGAAAAAAATTCGTGATAAAAATAAGATATCGTTGCCTATTTAATTTCCCACATGGTTATTGTGGTTCACTACTATTAGTAGACACAAATAATTTATTAGTGGAAGTCTTTGCTGGACTTAGTCCCTTGTGTGGTTCATTTTTTACTAAGAGATGATTTGGGTGTGCCTATTTATTTACACGGATAGGGGAATATATTTTGCTTTTCCTTGGCCTTTGATGGTTATCTTACTTTTTCCCATCATAGGTACTTTTGTTGAATGATTTTATTTTCATTCAATCTCTAGTTGCAGATCTTTCCCTTGCCTTCTTGGTTGCAGGAGAGTTGGCAGCTAAAATGTATGTGAAAGTTCTCCAGTTGTTTTCTTCTGTTGCATAAGATAAAAACAATATTTTTACACTCACAAGAGAAAAAAAGAGGAGAGAGAATAGGAAAAAGAGAAAATTTAAAACGTGTCCTACATAAAATTTGTGTGTGTAAGAAAATTATTTTATCTTATGCATTATAAGAAAAACAATCCCCTATTTAATTTTAAATGATATTTGATGGTGGGTTTTGGTTCATTCCATTATTATAACAAACCTGTTTAATATTTTAATTTTTCTTTTCCAATTTACTGCTTTTGATGAATAGCCATCTGTTAAGCACCAAATTATGTTTCCCACCGTTTCAGTAATAATAATTAGATGTATTACAACTATGTTGGAATACAGATAACCTCTAGTACATATACCAAATGTTGAACTATTTAACGGTTAAGTAGGTCTTTGGTCCATTCCTTCATCCGATTGATCTCTCTTTCATATGATTGAAAGGTAGAAACACATGCACTATGCTAACACGAGATAACAATTCTGCGAGTGTTTCCTATTGAAAAATTGTAACGTAAATAGTTACTGGTTGCTGATCATTTGTACATGCAAAGTGCAATTCAAGCCTCCATTTATCACCACATTAAGTTGTACAGGAAGTTTAAGTCTGCAACCAGGCTCACATGGTGAATGAGATCAACAGAAATGCGGAAATTTTCATTTAATAATTTATATACAATACAGATACAGTTTGCATCAAGCAAAAAGACCATACTGGTAAATGACACAAGGCGTGAGAAATAGGTATACATTCAAAATAAGATTGAAAAAAAAATAATAAATAAAAGAAAAACCTGCCAACAAAAGCAGTAAAATGCCGAGGCCAGTGGTTTTGGCCTTTTCCTTCCTTCAAAGCTAAACGTGCTATGCTTTGGTTTTACCAAAACATCACACTGGAACTACTCATAGGACGTCAAAAACCTCTATATAGTAATATTTAAGGAATTAATTTTGCCTTGAAATAGAAGCACCAAGTGTAGCAGCCTCTTCATTGCAATCACCAAGGCTATCTGAATGAGAAACATCTCCCAAATAAAGACATGGCTTTTCATTCTGTACATTTGTATAGCGAAGTGCCTATTTCGCAGAGTACCAGTTTTGAGCACACTTGGCATCAACAGATAGGTCAACTTTAAGAATATTCTTTCCATGAAAGGGTTTGGACATGCATTCAACAACTATAGACTTCGCAACCTCAGCTGATTCAGTTGGTCCTTCCAATATGACTTCATCATGAACCTGCTTTGTCATGTCAAAAAATCTTAGCAAGGAAGTTTGTAAATAGATATCCAAAAACATTCAGAGTGGAAATAACTTCGATATCAGAATATTGTGATAAAAATTACTGATTGATGCCAATTGCGACTGTTTTGTAATTAATAACATATAATTAAGATTTACGAAAGCACCTCACTTAGAAAAATATGAACAACTTGTATGATGGAATCATTCACTAATGGAACAAACTACATTATATATAATGCAACTATAATTACAATGAGCCATGAAAATGATTACAACGTATACCAATCATGTTTCCATGAAACAAATACTCACTTCATTGATCAATAGAAATTGTTTGAGACAACATATAAATAAATTATTCATTACATAGTAAGTTTATATACTACCTCCATACTCCCTCCCTAAGCCCACGCCAAAGAATGGATAGAATAGAATCAAAACTCAAGTATAATAATGGCACGTGAATCCGTAATTCGAATACACACGCACCAATAAAAGTGAACAAGAAAATTGAAAAAGGAAAATATTAGGGCATAAAATTACCTGTAGAAGTAACTTCCATCCAAGATCCTTCAACCGTTTATTATTCAAAATTTGCAACATGGCACACATGGCAACATCGGCTGCACTACCCTGTTGCATTCTACAAATCAGAAACCGATAAAAGAAAGGTCTGAAGGTGGAGGTAGATCACAAACTAATGGCAAGTGTCAAGTGGATTTTTTAAACATGATCTCATTATTCATTGTTGTTCTTAAAAGGGAAGTTCCAAAAATGCAATTGATTATTCTGTAGACCCCACTCTAGTAAGAACTAGTCAGCTTTCCTTATGGTAGGATAAACAATTCAGTACAGTTTAGATTTACTATAACGTTACCATCATCAAATTTGAGAATATAGTGGTAGCCTAAAAGTCTATTCAAAAGAATTAGGACCTGCACTGGAGTATTAATAGCAGCTCGCTCAATGTGACCTTTCTGATAGGTGTTAGCTTGGGCCATCAAAGGGAACCGCCGGGCTCGGCCTAGCAACGTGTAAACACAATGTAACTCATGAGCTTCTTTTTTCCGCAGCTCTTGCCATTGCAAAACTTCCTTTCTATCATTGTACCAAAGGTCAACTGTTTTCTTAGCTTCTTTCACAGAAACCTGAGAGAAAAATATGTGACTTGTCAGTACAGTCAAATGATAAATTATGGGCATTTGTCACCTATATAAATCCCTCATAATAAGCAATAGAATTCATGGTACCTTCCAATCCTTGGAAAGCCCCACTGGAGTCTTCCCATATGCAATTGAGAAGTTAAGCATTTTAGCTTTTCTTCTTTCAGAACCAAAGGCATCCTGAAATGGGAAAAAAAAAAAAAAAAAAAAAAACACAAAATAGAAACAAGGCGCATGTTCAACTGGCCAAATTATGAAACAGATGGTTATAATGCTAAACTGCTAAAGCAAGCTTTCTATATCTTATGGGAATGGCATAATAAAACAAGCTTACCTATGCCTAGTGTATTCTGATTTACTTTTATTTATGTATATAAACATTATTAAACACATCCACAAACTCAATGAATTTTCATATATATTTGGAAGCCCATCAATCTCTCAACTGGTGCTATGTGCGGCATTTTCCCTCTTTAACAGATTATTCTAATGTGCATTAGCAGTCCTTTCTTTCTACTGGAAAATTCATAAGTTCTGGTCCTTTGTTCGTCTTCTTGGTTTTCCGTTCATCAGACCATAAAGACAAAAATGAATACTAAAAAAACCAAGCCTAGTAAAATATCTTATTGTATTTGCAATTGATAGAACTGTGCTCAATCTGAATAAAGGGCGGTCGTCCTACATGCATTGCCAGCAATCTGGTGCTCACTGTATCCAATGCTATCAGTTAAAAGACATACCAAACTAAAAGATAAAGCATTACTCACTTATCTCAATGCAATTGGTTACTACCATCAGCAGACAGTTTACCTTCAGTAAAGGAACTGGGGGTTTGTCTTCACCAGGCTGAGGATGCCACTCGAGAAGCACTTGCTTTTTCTCAACTGCTTCACGAATATATGGGTACATATTCATTGCAGTCCTTGAATGGAAATCTCCACCAGCTTTAAAAGCTTCCAACATGCTCTTACAGTTGGCAAGATGTGCCAGAATCCTAAGTTCCAGCTGAAATAAAAAACATAACACAGTCAACAGAATGAAATTTCTTGAAAATAGTTCAACTAGACGGCAATATAAACTATTAACCTGTCCATAATCAGCAACTATTAGAGAATTTCCAGGTGCAGCAATGAATGCTTGACGGATTTTGTAGCGGTCTTTTTCCAAAGCAGGTTGATTCTGATTCATGAATTGTATGTTAGATTAAGTCTCTTTCTGAAAGCCAAGGATTAAGCTAGTACATGTAATATCAATATGTGAATGTCAGAATACAAACTGAAAATCACTGAGATGCACAATGCAGTCCAACTTTAAGACCCAAATAATTGTAATAAATTAAAAGAAAAGGTATCAAGACCAAGTAGGAATCTAACAATTATTTAATTAAAAGATTACATAAATGTGTATAGCAAGACTGATTAGTACAAAAACAAACAAACAACTTTGATAAGAAAGTGAGATTTTTTAACTATGAATCTATTAACAAAAAAGAAAGGAGATAAAGCTTGAGCTATTAGATGGCAGCATACAAATGGTTTTATATCTTTGACATGCTCCCTCATGCATGAGCACTTCAGGTGTGAAGCATGGATGATCAATAGACCTACTTCACCTTCTGTCGATTTTTTTTGGGTACAAACTAATGCCTTCTTCCAATATTAATTATGAAGAACAGGGGCAGAAAGAATGGAGTGGAGGCCCACGAATGAATTTCTATATCTAGTAGGAAGAAATCCTACTAAAAGGAGAAACTACATTTTAGATCAAAAGACAAAATGATAAAGCAACCTACTAAGAATTTAGTATCAAGAAAATTGAATGACACCAATTAGCAAATATACATGCGCACAGATGAAGGTCAATCATGGTCAAATGTATGGTACTTGAAAAATTTCTAAGTAAACAACGATTACCATTAAAAGGAAATATCTTAATCAAAATCTTCAAAGAGGACTTTAATATATCTTGTAAATTAGAATAACCTGCAGATTTGGCCTTCTTGCTGACAAGCGTCCTGTCTCTGTGTTGATATTTAAGGAACAATGAACACGGTGATCCTTTCCTGATATATTATGTCCCTGACATGGAGAAACTGTGAAGCTAGCATAAAGCAGATATAAAGAACTTAAGTGTTAAAATACAGACATATACTCAATTATAGTTTTAATATGCAAGTGGTGGCAAAGGAATCACACAAAACTCCAAGTCAGATAACGAATGAGTAATTTCTCTAGCCAAGCAACGGAAGAACTTCATACTGACTATCTGCTATGAGTATTTTAAAAGTTTGAGGGAGGTGCTATGGCAGCTTTATGATTTTGGCACCCAGGTGAGTTGCGAAGCATTTCATTGGGATGATTTTATAATATTTGTTTAAAAATATGTTAATATAACTAGCTGCGAATGAAATGCTTTAAAATTCACCCTGGGTACCAAAACCAGGAAATAAAGATGGGTACCCAAGTAATTCCCTAAATTTGATGATTTAGCAATAAAAACAACAGATCTGAGAATAACACTCATGGTCTCAGGTTCACAAATATCCTTGAGACATGCTGTTGCAAGGCATCATACAATCACATATCAAACGTTTATTTAAAGTTTATTTTCACCATTGTCAGAAACAGTAGAATATAGAAAAACAAAGATACAAATTGGAGAAAAGATAATAAAATTTAATAGAACCCTGTACAGAAAGATATAGACAGAAACTTGAAGTTTAGTCTCAGAATGGTTTTGTAATTATTCTATATCTTGAAAATATTTTCAATATTGTGGAACACCTAATACTTCTAGATGATGCTTAAATACATCAACATTACAAATTCAAGAATGAGTAAGATCTTTAGTAAAAAAATAACTAGAAAGTATCATTAGTTCCTTATGAAATAGATATATTATATGGAAGTTTGTTGCACTAGTTTCAAAATAAAAGCTGACACCAGAGATGCTTTAGAGCAAGCTCAACAAATTTCAAATTGCAAACACCTTCAAGTATTATAGATGCATCTGGCTACTGCTTAAATACTTGATTGACTCTATTTATTTTCATTACAAGGGCTTGGACCGATTCAAGTTCTATTAACGCCAATCACATTGAAAAATATCGATAGATCTTACAATAAAGAACTACCTGAAGGGGAAGGATGAAGTTAGAAATCAAAGAGTCAATTGAGCAGACTTCACATAAAGCAGCAATTGCATGGCAAGCTTCTCTCCCTTCTTCCTCTGTTGGAAAAGCTGCAAAGGCTGTTCCATATGCAGATTTATCAATTTTTACGGGTGCAATTTGACTTTCAGAAGTATTTCCATCTTCATCAAGATCCAAGTTACAAGCCTCATCAATAAGGTCAAATTCAGCAGAAATATTTCCAGCCAGGGCCTTTAAAGCATCACCACTAACTGACGGCCAACCACTTGCTGTGTATATATCAGTCTCCAGGTTACAACCTACGCTCTTCAACTTTATATCACGAAATTTCATGGGAGCCTTCTTTCCTTCTTCAATCACTTTATCAACATTGGGAATTTTGAATATTCGCTCAGTTGGAAGAGCCAGATCAGAGTCTTTTCTGTAACAAAAAATGTGGCAGGTGAAAATGAAAGCTGTACTTCCATCTAAAACATTCAACTACTTTGTCGTAGACAGCAGAGTTTATAAAAAATATGTAACTTTTTTCCTTCATGAGCTTATTCAACGCATACACAAGAATATCAAAGTACTAACTTTCATGAAAACATTAATCTTATGATTGTCATACAGTTTACACGATAAATATTTCAGGCTTCGACTAACAAATCAACAATCTACTAAGATTGAAACAAATGGCCCACATAAGATTTAAGAAATGTGCACCTGTTCACAGTGCCACCAAAAAGCAGCTGGCGCAACTGTAAATCACTTCCCACATTCATATACTTGGCATCGGGACAATACCTACATGCCCATTTTCGGAATCTATTAGAAGCTACCTCTTGCTCTGCTTTAGCAATCTTTTCTATGCCTTCTAGATATGCCCGATCAACTAGCATCCCCTCAGATTCCATTATGACTAGAAGCTCGCCAAATGGTCGCCAGTATTTATTGTAGAAATCATACATGGTTTTCCCAGAAACTGGAATACCATCAATTTTCCAAGGCATGTCTAAAAGATGGCTCTTTAAGCTCTCATAAAGCTTCAAAGTGCTTCTAGCATCTAAGGCAGAATAACATATCCAAGGTAGACGCTCATCTTTTTGTAGCTCTTCAACAGGAGCAATGGTAATCATTTTACCCTCAGATCCATCCTTCTTCACCTTTTTCTGACCAAATATAGTTTTCATTGACAGCTTACCAATCAAATCCTTTTCATGGTTCAGCTGAGTCCTAGACATGACCCTTCTGTCACCTGTAAGTCCTTCAAGAGAATAACCCCCATCCAATTGTCTTGATGAATCCCATAATCGTGCCATGTGCATTGTATCAGCATGAAAACCAGAAACTTTGAATCCATAGTTCTCTATAACATGACAATCAAAGCTATAGTTATGCCAGACCTACAGAATGCATCAGTGACTTGGTTATTTCAAATATTATTTGTATTCCCAAGTAATATGCATAGAAAAACCCAGGAATTTAAAGACAATATGATTTTATGAAAGATAGACTTAAGTTTTCCATTCCCGATGGAATAACATCACCGACAAATACTTCACTAATAAAGAGCCCTGCTTCTGTATGGAAAAAAAAAGAACAAATTTTCACTCATTAGTAAGTTGGTTGCAGGAGGGAAAGGGATGAGTATTTGCAAGGCTTATCCCAGAACAACACTAGATGAGTATTATTTAAGTGCCATAGAGTCTTAGGGACTGCCATTCCCCTCTCCTTCAAGATGTCATAATTTATCCACATGGTCTGCAGAGAGGACCCATCACTCATCATACCAGGGTTGGAGGTGGCCTGGATGGAATTGGATTTAATATATCATTTAGTGCAAGGGTAGTACTGCTCACAAAGATTTCCTTCACCCCTACCCTCGTAAGTCAGGGTTTCACGGAGAGTGATTTTATGTGTTTAAGTGGGGGAATGAGTGAGAGCGGAATTGGGCACGGCACAAAAATATATCAAGTCAACAATGCAAAACACATGATAATTATCCAAATATTATAGCCCAATGAGTCCAGCAAAACTAAAAGATAAAAGAAAAGCAGAAGCATCAAATTGTCTGGTGCTGGTAAGTACTGAATGAGTGACATTTTAATGGCTTAAGATGTTAATAAGGACAAGTAATTTTATAGCTATCTCTATGCACAAGAGTCAGCTAAGGATAATAAGTGATATTGTTAAAAGGTTGGTTTTTTGCCAGTTTATGTTGACAGAAAATAAGATAAGAATGTCTAACAACTACAAAAAATAAAATTTAACCAATTGTGCGAGTTTGCTACAATCATAAGATGCAAATTTCTCTGTTCTATACATAAAAGTCATGCACCAAAAGTTTACAACACAAACTAAACTACTAATCATATGTGGCTCTTTTAATATAATATGACAAATTATACATTTAGATTACCAAAGGATAATTCCACACCAGCAAGTAGCTGATTGTCATATATCATAACTAGTATGCTATTATACATACAGCAACAAGCATGGAATTAAGACTTAAAAGGTGCTGTAATTGAGGCAGGTGATAAAAATTAAGAACACAGAAGGGAGGGAAGAAGAAAGAAAAGTTCACCTTCTTGATGGAAGAGTCACTAAAAAATTCAGCAAATTTTTCTAAAATTTCTTTGCCTCCACCATCAAGAACATCTACCCAGATACAGGACTTTCCACCTCCAAAATCAGCTTCTGGACCAGAATAAATGCTGAAGCATATTATCTCCCCATGATCTACTGGTGTTTCTTGTTTGACATCTATCTTGGCTACCTTTGAAAACAAAAATATGAGCAGATAATATAAGTTCACAATTTATACACGCATGTGTCCAAGAGAGAGGAGATAATCTAGCTATATACACTCTTGTGATCAGGGAACAACCATAATACAAGTGAATACAGTCAAAAGAATTGTACCTCAGTATCACATGCATAAATAAGATGCCTGTACTTTACTGTGAGCATCTTAGCAACTTCCTCAGCAAGAGGAATATTATCAACAACCAGAATATCTTCATAGATACTACAGAGCCGGTCCCGAAGTTTTGATTGGTCAGTACATCGTGCCTGTCTATCCAATATTGCATTAGTTGAATCCTTTACAGTTGCATCCAAACTGTGATCACCATTAACTCTAGTAATTTTCTCTTTACTGATCTCCAGTGAAGATTCATTAACTCGGGGGACCACCCTTTTAGAATCCGTTAACACCTTTAAATTGTTTGATACAGAATATTTAACAGAAGATGGGACAAGTTCATCATGATCCTGCAGTACAAGATTGCCACCCATGTTCTTAGAAACAGCCTGTTTCTGACCAATGGAAGCAAATCTATTAGATGCATAAGAACTACCATTTTTCCTCACAAATTTATTTGAGCCATTCATTTCCTTTTTACTTTCAGTTAATTTATCTTTTGCTATAGCCCATCCTCTATAATCACCACCAGACAAATTTCTTTCAGCAGCAATCCTGGAAAATCCAGGATTGCAAGGAGCCACAGCCACCTTCCCAACTTGTGTTCCACAAGAATGCAAAGAACTCAGCTCTTCTTCATCTGTCATTTCCTCCAGCATGCCAGTTGATGCATTTGAAAATTTCACCAATGAAATGCGAACCGGAATTCTGTATGGAAAATTACATTTATATCTCATGTCATTGAATTTATTTAACCCCACAGATGTCCTCTTTAGGCAGCATGAATCAGCTCTAAATTGTACAGAATCACTAAGCACAATGCAATTTAGGAGACCATTGCTGGCAATCTGGCTTGACTGGTTTTTTCTTCTGCAGTTCACATCATGCAACAGAAAATAAAGGTTCCAATCAATGAAATGTAATAACACATTATTTAGCCATGCACCAACAAATATAAAACTCCTTCTGTAGGTGTGTGGGGGGTAAAATAATACATGTTTATACTTTTGACATGTCCTGAATAACAATAAAATATTTTACATTTATTGCCACATTTGAAAAGAGTTAAAAACATGATAGCTAAGCATCCCTAATAAACTGTTTTACATTTTTTTTTCATGAAGAGAATATCTCAGTAACTACAAACAAATTTCAAATAGTCATACTAACCACTAGGACCCAATAAAGTTACTAACGTTAATTTATTACGAAATAAAAAAGACGCGAAATTTGGAGTTATAAAAGAATTAGAAGACATGGGCAAGCTAAATAGAAGAGCAAAGGCATGAAAAGATGTGAACTTTGAAAGAAAGAAAAGAGAAAGGAAAAGAAGTAAACCGGTGAAAGGAGAATGAAGAAGGTGTGACAGGGAAGGGGCTGGAACAAGAGCGTGAGAGGGAATCTGGTCTTAGAGAAGTGGTCTTGCTGAAGACCTCCATGGCTGCAATGACCTTCTCTCAATTCTCTGCTTCTCTTCTCTTCTCAGAGACAGAATGGAGCCAAAGAGGCTAAACCCTGCAAAGTTAAAAATAAAAAAGAAATAATATTTTGAAAATCTTGGCCCTTTATATAAAATCATAATCATAAAATATTTTTATATCTACCAAAAATACAAAAATAAATAAATATAATATATAGTTGCCATGTATTGTAATTAGGGGTGTAAATAGGTTGGGCTGAGCTGGGCTTTGGCCATCCTGGCCCAAGCCTACGTCAAAAAAAATTCAGCCTATCTGGCTTATTAAAAGCTTTATTTGTAGGCCAAGCCCGACCCATTTTCAAAAATAGGAAAGTCTGACATGGCCTATAGGCCTTGTAGGCCTCCCACTATATATACTAAGCAAAAAAAAATAATTGTATAGAGCAGAGAAAGTTCCATTCATGCATGCACTAGTACTTCTCATAAGAAAAAAATGACAAACAAAAAAGAGTCAACATAATACCTCAGCTCTAGAATATATATTATAGAGGAATAGAGTCAAAGAAATGAGAAAAATAAGAAAAATACAATTACTTGATGCTGAAATAAAGTCTACAAGAGAATGTCATTCATCTAAAAATCTTTAAACCACCATCAAGACAAGGGAAAGAAGAGTATTATTGAAAGATCTTCATCAGTAACATCATAATCCAGCAAGGTACCCATTGCTCCATGGTATTAAGCTGCAACAACATATAAAATTTGGATACATTAGACAAGTTTTCCTTTCATAAAATAAAATAGCACAAAAAGTAAGAGATATTAGTATTTGGTACTTTGTGTCTTTGCCACATAAAATAAATATTATTTTATTATTTTATTTTAATAAATTAAATATGCCAGCCTACAAGGCTGTAGGCCGGGCTTGACAAAATTGGCCTATGCCTTATTTATTAAAAAAACTTTTTTATAAGCCTAAGCTTACTCTACTTTTCTGAAAGGTCGGGCCTGAGCTGGACTCAATGTAGGCCGGGCCTGAGCTGGACTCAATGTAGGCCGGGCCGTAAGCTGGGCTGGGCCAGCCTGACCCATTTACACCCCTAATTGTAATAAACCTTTTTTTTTTTTGGAGTTACCCAACCCTAATTACCTCTTTGAGACGAGTTGGCTCCCTCCGGTATCTTCACGAGCTTCGACTCTTTGAGCCGGCTATGGGACTAATCCGGAGTGCGAGGGAGCAGTGATGACTAAAGGTTCAGCCCCCTCCCCAAGAATGCATTCAACAGAAATCGAACACATGTCCAACCCCACTAACTCAGCACCAAATTACCAACTGAGATGCACCCATTGGGTAATAAACCTTATTCACATGCGGGTTTAAAGTTGATTTTGTCGTGAGAGAAAGGGCTGCGACGTCAATGAAGAGGAAACTATAAATAAGAAATTAAAAAAAAAATCAAGAAAATATAAAAAAGTGTTAAAAAGAAATTATGATTTTATAGTTTATTTTATGGAAAAAATATTTGTTCTTTTAAATGATTAACTTTGTATAATTTTAAATTATAATCGTTGATTTCTGTCAATCAATAATTAGAATTTATTGGGTCAAACTTATTAATTAATTAGTAATTGACAATTATGATTTATTAGGTCAAATTAATTAATAATTAGCAATAAAATCCAATAAATTCTAATTATTAACGGACGGAAATCAATAGTTAGAAACTAAAATGACACAAATTATATCACAAATATTTTTTTCTTACTTTATATTTAATTTAGTTTAACATATTTATTTAATTATTTTGTCAGTTTTTTTTCATTGTTAATCTTAAACAAATTTAAATAATAATATTAGAGATAATTTATTTTGTCATATAAAAAGTGTTATTGAAAATTAGTTTTTTCAACACTTACTTTTTCATTCCTAAAAATTGTATTTTCTTAATTTAATACTTTTTTAATTATTATGTTTATTTGAATTTACTTTATTTTAATCATAAAACAAATAGTTTTTTAAGTTTATTGTATAATTAATTTATGATAAAACCAATAAGCGGATACACATTGCCAGAGCTTGAATCCAAGTTCAAATTTCTCTATGGAAATCCTCTCTTGGGTTAGAAAAATTCGCAGTGAAGAGCCATTGGTAAATATGCTGCTTCTTAATCTTCCTATGTAGAGATTGATCAGAGAATCTAAATGAGCAGGCAAATATGAATCTGGTAGCAATCTTGTTATTCTATCAGCAATGTCTAATGCTAATAATCAATAAATATTGAACATTGAAAAATATGGTACTGGTTTTGATTTTCATAATGATGCCAATGTCATCATGATGAAATTTTATAAAATGATTCACAAACTTCATTTGCAGTTGCTTTTTCATTTACTATCTTTTTTATATATAATCCTCTACTCTTTCAGATTGGTTTTCTCAACTGCATTCTCTGCTCTGAAAATAAGTCTCCTGTGTATTTTTTTGTTTAGCCACTTGTACATGCTGCTTTGCTAAAACATCAAGAGCTGTAACTACATCACTAATCAAAGGCCTGGTATCAGCTTCCTCTTGAAGACACATTGCTGCAACTGCTAGTGCTTGGTCTAGACCCTTTTTTGGGTAGTTTCCTTCTAGTAATGGATCAGCCATAAATGTGAAATTCCTTTTGTCTTTGAATAGTGGTTGTGCCTGAAAACAAGATATTCTATGCTAAGAGAAATGCTATGAATTTAAGCACATAAAAAATGATTCATGACATACCCAAGTGACTAAGTTTTGTTCTTCTGATGGTCTTGAATAATCAAGTACTCTTCTTCCTGTGATTATCTCTAGAAACACTACTCCAAAGCTGTATACATCTGATTTTGTAGACAATTGACCTGTTGAGGCATACTCAGGGGCACAGTAGCCATAAGTTCCCATCACCCTGGTTGATACATGTGTTTTATCACCAGTTGGACCAAGCTTTGCAAGTCCAAAATCAGAGAGTTTTGGACTGAAGTTTTCATCTAATAGTATGTTTGATGCTTTGAAGTCACGATATATAACTGGTGGATTTGCTACATCATGCAAATATTCAAGTCCTTTTGCTGCACCTTCTGCTATTTTCATCCTAGTACGCCAGTCCAAGGGCTTTCTGTCCGGAGGTCGTTCTGACAATCATTTTTCTTTTCTTTTTGGTCAGATAAAATTTAACTTGCTTATTACCAAATAACACTGAGGTAATGCTTTAAAAGGGGAAATTTTATGGTGCCAATTTTGCTTTTATGCCATGAAGGATGTATCAAATTCATCAGGTTGGGCACAGTATTCTATATAAATTTCATATGTAATTGGTCTGTAGCACAAATGGAAAGGTAAAACATTATCTACATAAAATCTTCAAGCTGCAAGAAGTTTGCTTTTATTGTAATTAATCACCATGATGATCCTATGTGCTCATTCAGTCATATGCTACTATACTTGGTTTTAGTCATAGCATTTATTCAAATTTGATACTTGAAGTGGATGTTACTATGATTTGTGGCCATGATGAATTGCGTTAGAATACATTGTGTAAGAAATGCATTTACTTACCGAGAAGGTGATCTTCTAAAGAACCATTCACCATGTACTCGTATACCAAAATCCTTTGATCACCATCAGCACAATACCCTACTAAATTGACAAGGTTAGGGTGGTGCAAGAGACTCAAAATCAAAACCTCTGCAATAAATTCCCTGTTTCCTTGGAATCCTTCCCTGTTAAGTTGCTTCACAGCAACAACCTGCATGTAACACAGCATTTAGAAGGTTACTTATTACAATCTTACCTGAATGGATTTTTTCCTTAGCATAATATTCAAACAGACCTGAGTTGAAGTAATAATACCTGATTTTTGCTTTTAATGCGTCCTTTGTATACCCTCCCAAATCCTCCTTCACCAATCATATTGTGAGGGTTAAAGTTCTGAGTTACAACACATAGTTCATGATAAGAAAAAATCTGAGAGGTATTTTTTCCTTTTCCAATTTTTCCCATTTCTTCTTCAATGTACTCCCGCTTGCTGCTATCTACAACATAAAATTTGTTCAAAAGTTTTAAGCATCAGTATTTATCATTGGCAAAAGTTAGTGTTTCAGATGGTTCAAATCCACTACATAGGATCACTTTATCAAAGATGCAGTTCCTCAGGCAGGATTCCAAAGATGAATGTAAACTTGGTGACACAATGATCAACGATTTCATTTGTACTTTTTGCTTCTAAACATGCCATCAAGAAGTTCAAAACAACAAAGTATTGAACTAACAATGATACAAAAGAGAAGCACAAGACTTAAACTTCATCATTTTACATCCTTGTGGCTTCATAATAATTATAAGACTAATAATGTGTTGATTGATGAAGCCTATTGGAATTGTACTAACATTTCATAGATTTCCATTTTAGGATTTCATGTTGAGATAAATATGATTACACTTGAGGTAAATGATTTGTAACGGAAACAACATTAGGCTCTAGAATGAGACATTAAATTGCAGAAGTTTGGCCTGGGAATCAATACAATGATGAGAAACCAGCAATTCAAAACCCCACATGATGAAAACAAGAAGGAAAATATAATTTGTACAATGAGGAAGATATGCATTGAAGCTAAGAAAATTACCAGTTTTAAAACAGACATTATCAAATGAAGTTTGATCAGTTTTTGCATCATGGTATTCCTTAATGCTCTTCTTCAATGACTCTTTGTTGATCTTTTGTGACGTACAACATGAAAAGAAGCTCATTTTCCACTCCTAAATATTTTGATCTGACCAAACCACACATATATCATTGCAAAGTTCCTGCATCAGCTTTTCAAATCTATCTCTTAGCATGCAGATTCTATGATCCAACCCTGGTAATCTTAGACACTCCAGAAGGGGTTTAAAATCAATTTGAGATGTTTTAAATTCAAACCTTGGCCCTGCAAAATCCAAATTGATCCTCTGAGTTATGGCTTCACATAACCTTTCCCACATGGCATGGTTTTTCTTCAAAGGCCATAGTTAGTAAAGGAAATGATGACTTTGTCAAATATGCTAATCCAAATTATCTAAAGTTTCTCAATATAGGATTTCATAAAGTGTTTTTTCATAGGTTCCACTTCATTATGCCAACCACTCCTTTATGACAATCTCATGAACAATAAATAATGGTAGCTGTTTTATATGGATGTCATATGTTTCCGTTGTATCCTTCCCATCTACCTCAGTTATATTTTTATTAAGCGTGTACCTAATTTTACCAATGATATATGCGTTACTGCTTTCAGCTTTTAAATGACAATAAACTCAATTAAATGATATATTGAAATATCAAATATAGCTTTTTTATTTTGGATTTTACTTTAATTTTCTGAGATATATATAGAATCATCTTACATCAATGTAAATTATACTCTTGATATTAGTTTAAGGTCCCATTTACATCCTCTTTACATATCACCCTATATTTGTTCTTTATTTTTCATATTTGTATTCTAAATTATACAAAATTCAGCGAATTCTTTTATTCTATTTAGTTCAATGAACACCTTTCTTTCACGTGAAAGTAAGAGATAAAGTTAACTTGAACAGAAATATTTTCTTCTTTCAATATATTTGTTTTAAATTCTACCCAATGCGAAGCGACGTTGAGAGAAAGTAAGTCGTTGCTTTCGTTGAAAGTGTTTAGGATGTTTGTCCTTTTCAAACTTAGCCATACAAATTTTAGATCATGTGACACGTTAAAAAGAATGTAAAACGAATATATAATTACTTAGTCACTTTACAAGTTAGGTCAGAGGAGTCTTTTTCAGTGTTATAGAGTTGCAACGATAACTTTTCCATTCTTGTGATCAAGAGTAGCATCTTAATTTGATGTGAATTAATGAAACCAAAAGCAATACAATTAGCTAGCACCAATAAAGAGGAGGATGATAAAATTTGTTGTCTTTCATTAACATTGCAACTCTTTTGTAGGCAACCTTCACCTGCCCCAAATTGTATTGAATGTTTTTCTGTACAATTATTAATAAATTTAATGGTATCTGTTAACAGTGAATGGGAAATGGGGGAACATATAACATAGTAAAACTGATAAAAAAAAAAAAAAAAATTCAGTTAGCCATCATAACATATAATATTATTAATAATTTGTTGGTAGAGGTCGTATCCATGATCGCGTGATCTCTATTCATCGAGGGAAATAGTCATTGGCTTTCCGCTGAGGTATCTTGGAATAATTTCAAAAAAAAAAAAAAAAAAAGTTAGCCATCATAACCATAATAAATCAAAACCAAGCATAAAGGAAAAATGTGTCTCCAAGGTATGCCTGACTTCATAATTTCATCCATATATGAACTTCTACGACTACTTCTGTCCTTTTACAATATTACGGCACAAATCGGAGTTCAAATATGGAACAATTGGTCACATCTGTTGCCACATATATATGTAAGACAGAAAATGATTCAGGAAGATGAAATGGAACAGCATTACTTCTGAAGAATAGCAACGCTAAGTAAATCAATAGTTATTATAAACCTTCAAGAGAAATATGTAATAATGACACAAGGAATCCAATTATAATGACACATAAAAGGGTTTCAATTTGCTGAGACTACCACACTGACACGGAATTAGATAAAATGGTTCCAATTAGCCATGTTAAAATTTCCCAACCCCTGCTTTGTCCTTTAGCCAAGGACTTGAACTTCTCTAACACTATGTCAGTGTCATTACAACATTCTGGACCTCTTCATCTTACCATTAGATATAATTCTCACTTGCATATTCTGCTGATTAAACACTAAATTATGGATTACAAAAGACTGCACTTGTTAGGATAAACAGACTTCAGTTGCAGATGTATCAGACAAGGCTATGCAGACAAAGATCTAGTGTTATAGATTGCTAAATACCTAGGTACCCGTTTGTTTGTACGTAATTTTTTTAGCTTTTTTTCTTTTTATAAGGAAAAACTTATTCATTCATATTTTACAAAAATTTATAATATAAAAAAAGTTTTTTCATAATGAATAAAAAAAGAAAAAACTATAAACTGGCTAGAGAAGCTTTTTTTAATATATAACTTTTTGGAGTTCTTATATTTAATTTTTAATTTTACCCTTAATTTAAACTTGTATTTACAAATTTTACCTTTTTATCTTAATAATTTATCCTAATAAAAAATCGTTTCATCTTTCCTTTTTAAAACCCTAAACACAATTTTACAAAAGGGTGATATTTTTCTTATGTTGCACAAGAGAAGTATTATCTCTTACACTCACATTTTTTAAATGGGTTCCTCAAAAAAAAAAAATTCTCTCACCTGCAACTTTTCTCTCTCCTATTTATTATTTGGATAGAAAATAATACTTCTCTTATACAACATAAAAAGAATATTACCCTTTATAAAATTATCAAACTGCTTTTAACTTTAATTTAAAAGTAATTTTTATCTTGAAAAAAACTCCTCTAAGTAATAAGTCCAAACCAAGAAAAACTAAGCAATGATTACAAATTGACCTAATTAAACGTTTCTAACTTTACCAGTTAAATCAACAAATAAAAGGCCAAAGATCAATAAACTTTCTAAAAGTTCGGCTCTTTATCATGTAATTCAATAGAACAGTGTGCCTAGGGACCATGAGAAAAGCCCATCCCAAAAGGATTTAGAACCACACTGATCCCTTCTGTTTATTCATCGTGGGGGGCACAATTTGCGATTTAAAAGTCTAAACAATCTGACAATATATATTAAGAATGAAAACCCAGATATTTGGTAAAACCCACGCGCCACCTTCCTGTGCTATCCCTTATGACACCCCCGCATGAGCACTGTTGGGCCTCCTCCTTTTGATTTTTGTTGGAATATTTGTAAAAATAAAGGCAGCCTCCTTTTTTCCTAAGATCTAATTCTTTGTAGCTAACTCACAAAAATAATGAACTATTGAACTTCTAGAACTGGTAAGACAATCTGAACGGTGAAAATTAATATTCTCTATCCGGATCCTCAATTCATATTCTTGGTTGTGTATCAACTTCAGAATCCGCATCTCCTCCTTCATAAATTAACCTTGAGGCTTGAAAGTAGAGAACATGGCAAAAGCTTGCTTTAATATGGGCATACGATTAATCGATTATTATGCGTAAGCTAATTATTTTTATACTGATTTTTCCTCTTAATTTTAAGTAGTTGTTTCCTTTTTATGACTTCGAGAAGATCAGCTCAGTTTCAAACAAAATCATCCTTTTTATGTTTTTGGAGATTTCTTACCCCTTTTTTTTTTTGTTGAACTGGGGAAGGCAGAACAAAACCCAACACATAAAAACCAAGCTTACTTTCTCTTTTTGCCCCCCTTTCTTGGTCTTAGTATGTGCGTGTATATGATGCTAATATATATCTAACTAGCTAATACTATTCAAATCCACTAAGTACAAGATATGGCTAATTAATACTAACAGTGAACAAAAACTTAGCATAAGCCACAAACATGAGCCCTCTGGGTCAAATGAGGCAGCAGCAAGTCAGATATATTAATTAATATGCCTCAAAAGTTGAGTTCAGAAAGGATTCCTCCTTTCACACTAAAATGGTATGAAAAATAAGATTTGATGGAAGTGCCTCCCACCTACTCTTGAGACATTGATAGAAACCAAAGGAGCAGAACTCCCCTTTGTTGAATCTATAAAGGGCAAATTGGCAAGAAGCCGTTTATCATCCAGACAACAAATGGGATGCAAGTTACAAGCCCAAATGCCTCATTCAAATCAGGTGGGAGAAAGGAGTAACCAGAAATGTTTGATAAATGAGAAATTTTTTTTTATCCAGGAATCTCAATTTTTAAAAATATGATTTTTACATTTAGTTTACGATAATATCTTAAAATTAAAAATTTAAAAAAATTCAGTTTCCCAAGAATCTCCAAAAATCCCACGTACCAAACGGGCATATTCTTCGCCAATTTGAGTTTTGCTCACATCTCGAATGAATTCAAGGACATATTCAAAGAAATTCTTACCGAAAGTGGAAATTGTTTGTGGATTTCGAACAACTAGAATGGCTGAAACTAATAAGATAGCAATTACAAAACATAGACAATTATCAATGTATCATGTATTACAGAGATTGATGAATCACGGTAAGAAACCCACTATGAAAAGAAACATCTTACACGAATTGACAATGGAGACCACAGAAAAATAGTAAGTGTTGATTTTGTAGGGAAATTTATTCGCTGGTCCTTTTTTTCTTTTTTCTTCTCCCTCTCTCTAGCTTTTTCTCTCATGGGCTCACGAGGGCCGAGAGCTCTAAATTTTCTCTCATTTTGTAGATACGATGCTCTAATAAAGTACAGAACAACAACGACGTCACAACTCACAACAATAAGAGAACCCCGGATGTTAAACATGAACAATGATTGTAAAATACACGACAATGGAACATCCCTCAGATTTCATGTCTCCTCAAAAAAATTCAGTCCACTACTTTTAGTATCTACCCAATTCATCACAGGGATGCAACAACAAAAAAGCCATTCAGAAAAAAGAAGGTGCAATTGTGGATCAGCAAGTCACCCCATGACAAAATTATTCAAAACAAATCACCCCTTTCCATTCCTACCATTTAATATGACAACTATGCAAAGAAAATATTAGAAATGCATAAAAGCATCCATTTGTAACATTATGTTCAGAAATCAGGCTATTACTTATCTCAGTAGATTAAAATAATAATAATAATAATAGCAATCTTTTCACGGCAAAAAGGAGAAGAAATCATAAAAATTTAATAAAGAGATTAATCAGACCACAACATGGGTTATGAACACCGGAAAAAAATAAAAATAAAAAAACAGATTTAAAAAAAAAATAGAAAAAGAAGTTAAACTGAGCTTGATGATGTGGTTCTATACTGGAAAATAACTAAAGCAAATTGATCTCTGTGAGAAGTAAGAACAACTAATTACCCATAACTAAATTATTTTTTTTCACCTTTCGGAAACATAGTAAAAATACCCAATCGAAGAAAGAAGAGAGGAATTTGAATAGGGGTTTAAATTATTGGATAACTGTATCTTCTTTCGCTCTCTTTGTCCCCTCACGAAGACTTGGTGTTGAGTAGTCTTCACTAAATAGAGGGAAGTATATATATACACTAAAAGTAACAGTAAATAGTTGCAGTCATCATGATTCCTAAACTAATTTCTGTCTTTCTGATAAGATATTCTCTCAAGGAAACTATGTCAAGTCCAACTGTCATCAATAACATACATATCATGCAGAAATAGACACTAAAACATGTTAATTTGTTATCTGGTGTGGAATCCAAACAAGCAATATTATGCTCATGGTAGAGGTTAGAGCAAAAAGGTGGATGCTTAGAAACTATTTATTTGTTATAAGTGGGTATTCATCCTTGCTTGATTCGAGTTTAAATCCCAATTACACCAAATATATATATATATATATATATATATATATATATATATATACGCTCTCATTATCTACGAAGTAACATGTATCTTGTTTTTCAACATTGCATAAAATTCTTCTATTGACCACTGCTTGCGGAATTTTCTTTCCTGAAAACTCGCAACTGTTCCCTAAACTTTTTGCTCTCTTCAAAGTTGGCCTTTCGCTTCAAAGCTTTCTGTTGGAACACATGTATGATTATTACAAACCACAGCAAAACAATGAGACACAGAAAACAGATGACAACAAATGAAAAATCGAAAAGCTCACTTCTTGTCTGAAACAGCGATCCAATTTTATTTTCAAATCTGTACATTCACCAAAGAATTTTCCAATAGGATGTTCTATATGACACTTTTGGAACTGTTCAATAATCTGCATAAAAGCACAGTCTGCAATTAAAAAGTTAAGCTATAATATATGAAGGTTCAAACCGCCAATAATATGGTTTTTAGCAATTGTAAGTTATCATCATTGTTTGCAAGACCAAAAGCACCGGAGGAAAAGAACAATGATCTAACAAAGGAACGGAAGGGCAATTGAACACTGGCTTGTCGCATTGGGACACAGGAATGTAAATATATCAAATTAATCATAAGAAACAAGCACACTAATAATACAACACAATATCCAAACTAATAATAATCGTAAATAATTACAAAAATTAAAAAAAAAAAAAAAAGGATGATCAAATAAACTCACTTCGGCGCACATAGGGTGTTTGTGTAATGTTAAAGGAGGGTGCATCTTCCCACAACCAAATCAAAACTTGTCCTCCAATGCAACCACCGCCCTATTATGTTCCGTTCATGGTACCAAAACGACTGCAATCGAAGAAAGAAGAGAGAAATTGTTTGGATCGAAGACCAACGAAGATTTTTTAATACCTCCGTTTCTATTCCACGGCGCAGAGTTAAATGCTCATTAATGACATTTTTCTAGGAAATGGGAAAAAAATCTTTCTCGGAAACCAACACAAACAGTGAGAAACGACGCAAGGCAGAGTAAAAGAGAGAATAGGTTTCGCTGCTGAGATTTATAAGAAAGAGAGTGAGGATCATTTTCCGAAATCATCCCTAAACATTTTATTGAATTACAATTAAGTCCTCGACTCCCTAAAATGTGTTGAGGAAAAAAAAATTGGGAAGCCTTCTCTTTTATATCAGAGCCTGGTTTCGATCCAGGGACCTGTGGGTTATGGGCCCACCACGCTTCCGCTGCGCCACTCTGATTGTTGAGAAGTTACTTCATAAAATAATATTTATTATATAATTATTATATCGCATTTCGTACTAATGAAGTTTCACTAAAACGTAGAATTTTGAAGATACTTGATACTGAGATAAATCCCTGTCTCCCTGATGCGCAAAGGAGGCTTCTCGAATAAACATCGAGAGTTGGGGATTAACCGTTGCAATCGAAGAGGAGGAAAATTAGATAAAGAAAAGAAAGAGTTGTGGTTTGCGTATCTTTTATGCTTTTTGTTTTGGGTTATGTTTATCTCATTTTACATGAGATAAACATCTCTCCTACACACACAAAAAAGGTTGGGTCCCACCATTTTTTTTTTCTCTCTCCTCTTACATGTGGGTCCCACTTATACTTTTATTTCTACAACATGAGGTAATTCTTTTCCTACAACATAAGAAAAATATATCCCTTTTGTTTTTTCCGTCACATCCGAAACTTTTCATCACTATATGCTCTACCCAAAAATGTACATAGTAAAAGGTTCCTTCCACGAATAACCAATTGAGGTAGCTGTATTCAGCCAATCATCAAGTTGTATAAGAAAAAAATAATAATATAATCCTCTAATAAATCCTTAATATTCAATTAACCGATACACTACCTTCAGAAAAGTAAAAAGAAAAAAACAGTTCACCAAGTACTGGTGCTGAACATGATTTGTAATTTATCAAAGTTCAATTGAAAAAAATAAAATATAGTTGTACTTTGTATATCATTTGCACACTAATGAAAATTAACGTTTGTTGTTTATGAATTTATCGAGGTTGACCTACTATTTTATCTCACAAACTTTTTAGTTTTAGTATGAATGATTAACTTTAACATTTAATTTATTCGGAGAGATGAATTAATCAAAATAAATTTAAACTAATCCAAAAAATATCAAACCTTTATTAAAAAAAAGGAAAACGTAAATAAAACCTTACACAAATTAAGGGGAAAAGGAAGTTTTATTTCGTACCATGTGCCTATGATCCTTTGAAGTGGCGGAGTCACACCAAAATTTTAGGTGGTGCCAAATTTTTTTGACATATTAAATTATTAAAATATTTATTATAATTACACAAATTAATCAGGAAAAAAATTTACTATAAATTCTAACATAGTTATCTAAATTATGTATTAAATAATATCACGTAACATTGAAAATTCAAATGAACAATTATCAATGATTATATATCAAAGAAAACATATAAAAATGCACTAACCTTTTCGATAAATATTTCAAACATAAGAATTTCACTTTCCTCTCACAGCATAATAAGTAGGGGATAGGTTATTTTATCTACCATTTTTTTCGTCTACCTTTGCCTATCACTCTCCAACATCGTTAGATCATAATCTTAATAAGAGAAAAAAATAATAAATGTAATTGAGATTCTGATCCAATGGTATTAAAGAGTGGTAAGCAAAGGTAGACAAAAAAAAATAGTAGGTAGAATAATATATCCCAATAAGTAATGGACCAAGTATTGTCCTAAGGATATGAAAACACACAAATATAATAAATACATGCTTAATAACATTTAATAAATAATTTAAAATATAATAGAAAAATGCATACATAAAATTGTAAATGACGCTCTTTTAAACTGACAAAATCATCAAGGATAGAATCTCGTAATTCTTGAATAAGTTACTTTGTACTTGAAAATAATTGTATATCATTCAAAATATCTTGAGATTTTTGTTGTAATGCTTGAAAAAGAATCTCGGTGATGCTCATTATCTCTTTCATCAAAAATAAATTAAAGATAAATTTAAAGGAAGTGATCATCTTATAAGCTGTAGTAGCATCTCCTCTTTGAGAGTAATTTGAGCCTTCACTACGAATTATTTTAAGTAAGTAGCATCTCTTCTTTGAGAATAATTTGAGCCTTTATTATGATTGCAATTGTAAGTCATAAATTAAGGCTTTAAAAGTAATTTTAAGTGATGGATTAGGTAAAAGGGTTTGGGTATTGAGTTTTATTTTTCTAATTAAAAAACATAAATATAATTATATTTATTCAGGTGGTGCCAAATTACAAATTTAATCTTAATTAATTATAATTAATTATATATTTATATATAACAAGTAAATTTTTTTAAAACCAAACAGGTGCTGAGACATCCGCTGACATAGGAGTGGCTACGCCACTGATTATCCTTTGATATTAACGAGATTGTTCATATCGTTACATCGTCAATTTGATCGAACAACATTTAAAACTATTACAATTATTTTCAAATTTTCATTTAATAATTGAGATTTTAAGGATTATTAATTTTAAACAGGTTATTAGGGTCTCTATCAGGAGTTTAATCCTTATACTGTTCTAATTCAATTAATATTATACGAGAAAATTTGGTGGATGAATACCACGAAAAATCTCCCCATGAACTCACCCTTTCAATTTATCAGAAATTCAAATGTAATGAATGAGTAATTAAATCTCATACCAATTAAAAATTAACTGAGAATTATGTAAATAAATAAAAACTCATAGATATAAGATTTTAAGATTTTAACTTGTTAAAATTTAACTAGGGTGATTTTCAATATGTGGGCTCCCGAAATATTATTTTTTTCCTAAAATAAACTGAGTGCAAATTTTACATGAACACTTTAAATATTTTTTTTCTGAAAAAAACCCTAAATACAAATTTTTCCTAGACACTTTAAGAATTTTAACACTATTAATAAGAAAGAGAAATATCATAATTTTGGCCTGCTTTTCCTTTTACGAATTAAACATCGTTAACTAATTGTTTTTAAAACATATTTATTTAATTAGGATAAAATAATTTTGTCTAACAAAAAGAATACTAACCGATGCATGCGGCAATATTTTATACTGATTGGAACACATTTATCTACTCCCTTATTAAAAAGGAGAAAAAAAATATAATATGAATGAAAATAATTATAATAATAGAGATAGTATGAATATATTTCTTTTTAGCATGTAGCACTGTAAATATTAACGATTGCAACATCTAACAATTAATTGATTATGACAGGCTTTGATTATATCGAGCTAATTAGATGATCACCTCTCCCAAAAAAAATCTCCTTCCCTGAATAGGACTGAAGCACGTGGTATATAATAAAATGACGTTAACTATAAAAGAAAAACAAAGGAAATGGATAGTCTCATTCTCATATTTATTTAATATGATATGTAATGTGAAAGAATTTTACTTATATAAAAATAAATTAATGATGATAATTTTATAGTTATCTATCTCTATATTTTTCTCTTTTTTTCCTTATTAATATTCATCTATTTTGCTTGGTTATAATTTATTCACATAATAATTATCTATCTTTATATTTTTCTCTCTTTTTTCTTATTAATATTTATCCATTTTGTATAGTTATAATTTATTCACGTAAGAGAATTTATTTTAAAAATTAAATAAATAAATAAATAAATAAAATAACATTTTTTTTGAGTTAGTTTTTTCAATACTTTTTAAGACACGGGACTTTTTTACAGTTATTTAGTATGTTTTTTTATTTTTCAAAAAATTGTTATTTTTTAATAGTTTTAATTAGATTTCGATTGTTTATATTTTCAAAATTATTTTTTTAATTTTTTATTTACAAAAAATATATTTTTCATGTCATATGAGACAAATTATTTTTTATAACACATAAAAAAATTAAGTAAAATCTACTTAAAAAAAAGTAAATTTTATTTATTTTTTTATGTGTTAAATAAGTTAAATTATCTTATATACCATGACAAACATATTTCTCAGTACTCATATGGTAGATTTTTGTCTTTAAATATCAGCCCTGCATTCTTGGGGAGGGGGCTGAACCTTTAGCCACTGACCCTCCCGCACTCCTCCGGATTAGTTCCATAGCCGGCTCAAAGAGTCGAAGCTTCTGAGGATACCGGAGAGAATCAACTCGCCTCAAAGAGATAATTAAGGTGGGTAACTCAATATTTGTTTTTAAAATTTTTCTTTTTTAATATTAACATTTGCTTATCAATGTATCAAGAAGGTGTGAGCAAATTATAGATCGTTGACTCTTTTTATCCAAACATTGGAAAGAGTTTCACACTTTCACTTCATCTTGTTCTTGTTCTGTTGTTCAATGTTCGGCTTCCATCGTGCTATGGCTTCTTCTTCATCATCATCATCATCATCACCATCTTTGTTTTTCAAGGTAGCGTGGCTCATCACCCTCCTCGTGTCTCACATGGGTCTCCATGTTTTGGGGTTGAAATCGCCATTTCACCCGCGAGACGTGCTTCCTCTGCTGCCGAAGCAGGTGTCTTGGCCCATCCTCAATTCTCTGCATAGCGCGGTGGATATCCTACCTGTGTTCGTGGGTGCTGCTTCCTCTTCAGATGATTCCCTCGAGTGGAAAGGTGCCTGCTTCTACAAGAACAAAGCTTGGATGGTCTTTCACAACAAAAGCCAATCTCAATTTGGTGGTGGAACCCTTCACTTAAAGGTTACCCTTTTTTTTTCTACTTAATTTTTGTTCCTCTGTATGAATTTTCAAGTTTGGAAATCTGGGTTACTTTTTTTTTTAATATTCAGGTTTTATGATTAGTCTTGTTGTAATGAACTTTCCTTTACTAGTTAAACTAATCAATGAAGTATTAATATACTTCGTTTGCTGAAGTTATGGGTCTCAAAGATAGTTTAGTCTTCAAAATTCCTCATACTGAATGGCAAAGCATAAACAGAATTTGGTCATATTCAGCAGATAATTTAAAAAAAAAAATAAAAAAATTCCTTTTTAGAGTAGATGTGTTTTAAAGTATTTTCTTAATATCAGGATGCTTAAATGATCAGAGCGTACTATACCTTATTTCTATATTATAGAATTTTCCTTGAGGTCTAGATTATATTGTGTGTTTGAGTAGTAGTTTGGTGGATTTTGATTGGAAGCATTGACGTTTGAAAGGATCAGAAAAATCTGCCTTGGGTGGTCGCCTAGATGATATGACATTAGAGGAATCAAGTTCACTAGATTTAATGCCCCTCAGTATCCTGTAGAAGTCATTATTAGTCTATGAACTATGAAGTTCCTCATACTGAATGGCAAAGCATAAACAGAATTTGGTCATATTCAGCAGATAATTTAAAAAAAAATAAAAAAATTCCTTTTTAGAGTAGATGTGTTTTAAAGTATTTTCTTAATATCAGGATGCTTAAATGATCAGAGCGTACTATACCTTATTTCTATATTATAGAATTTTCCTTGAGGTCTAGATTATATTGTGTGTTTGAGTAGTAGTTTGGTGGATTTTGATTGGAAGCATTGACGTTTGAAAGGATCAGAAAAATCTGCCTTGGGTGGTCGCCTAGATGATATGACATTAGAGGAATCAAGTTCACTAGATTTAATGCCCCTCAGTATCCTGTAGAAGTCATTATTAGTCTATGAACTATGAAGTTCCTCATACTGAATGGCAAAGCATAAACAGAATTTGGTCATATTCAGCAGATAATTTAAAAAAAAAATAAAAAAATTCCTTTTTAGAGTAGATGTGTTTTAAAGTATTTTCTTAATATCAGGATGCTTAAATGATCAGAGCGTACTATACCTTATTTCTATATTATAGAATTTTCCTTGAGGTCTAGATTATATTGTGTGTTTGAGTAGTAGTTTGGTGGATTTTGATTGGAAGCATTGACGTTTGAAAGGATCAGAAAAATCTGCCTTGGGTGGTCGCCTAGATGATATGACATTAGAGGAATCAAGTTCACTAGATTTAATGCCCCTCAGTATCCTGTACAAGTCATTATTAGTCTATGAACTATGAAGTTCTATAATTGTATTTCTCTCTCTCTCTCTCTCTCTCTCTCTATATATATATATATATATATATGTATATATATATATGGGATTCAAAAATCTATGCAGTTTTAGTGATTGATTAATATCTATGTGCTGGTCTAGGTTAGCAATGCTCATAGTTGGACGTGCATGGATCTTTATATTTTTGCTACCCCATATCGTGTAACATGGGATTATTATTTCCTTGCCCGGGAGCATACACTTGAGTTCAAAGAGTGGGAAGGGAGAGCTGAGTATGAATATGTAAGTGGCCATCTTTCTTGTCTACAGTGTTGAAACATGCTTTTTGGTTTTAGAAATCCTTACCCTCTTTGCAACCAGGTAAAAAATCACGGGTTATCAATTTTCCTCATGAAAGCTGGGATGTTGGGGACCCTTCAAGCTCTTTGGGAGGTCTTCCCTTTATTTACAAATACTGGATGGGGAGAGAAATCCAATATTGGATTTTTGGAGAAACATATGGGAGCTACTTTTGTGGAACGCCCTCAGCCTTGGGTTACAAATGTCAGTGTTGATGACATTCATTCCGGAGATTTCCTTGCTGTTTCAAAAATTCGAGGTCGCTGGGGTGCTTTTGAGACTCTAGAGAAGTGGGTTAGTGGAGCTTATGCTGGTCATACTGCTGTTTGCTTAAGGGATTCAGATGGAAAGCTCTGGGTTGGGGAGTCAGGACATGAAGATGAAAAGGTAAAATGTTTATTTTTCGTTGTATCTATTGGTTAACACCTTCACGGTGTGATATATTATATTTCATAGTTATTTCTTGATAACTTCATAATATTATAATTTTCTTCATCCTCCAAAAAATAGAAAATTTCTTGAATCCTATGCGATTTTAAGGTTTTTATATATTTTATAAAGATTTTTTGTAAGCTTTCCATAATCATGTCGTCATCAGGGTAGCTAAGCCTATATTCTCAGTTTCACTCAGATAGAAATTGTGATCGAAAATTAGAGCATCATATTTATCATGTTAACATATATAGATTTTCTTTTGTTACAAATGATTCGTCTTGGTAGAATGACTGTTTGAGAAATTGAAGGTACCATAGTGGTTCGTCAAATCTGCAGCCTCATTTGGAGTAAAGTTGCAAGTGTTTTATTTCCTTCCTCTCTTTTTGTTTGCAGGGGGAAGATATAATTGCCTTGGTACCATGGGATGAGTGGTGGGACTTTGAAGTGAATAAAGATGATTCCAATCCCCATATTGCACTGCTTCCTTTGCACCCTGACATGCGTGCTAGGTTTAATGAAACTGCTGCATGGGAGTATGCGCTGAGCATGGCAGGAAAACCATATGGTTACCATAACATGATCTTCAGTTGGATAGACACTTTAAATGGGAACTATCCACCCCCCTTGGATGCTAATGTGGTATTAATTTAAAAAATGTTCTGCCTAAATTTATCATTTCATCTGTTAACACATTGGATGCCACAGTCTTGAGTTTTTCACTCTAACTTCTAATCTTGAGTTTTCTAACAATCATATGAATTTTTTCAAACAGAGAATCAAATAAACTATTGTCTTTGTCTTGTAGAAATTCAACATGACCTTCTATGCAAGTTGTTTGAATAGTATCAAATTTTGTTTGAAATACAGTATCATCAACTCATGTAGTTTTACTTATAATTGCTTGTCTTCTGCCCAAGAAGACCATTGCTATTGAACAAAAAGTTCATTCACTTATTTTTGAAAAAAAGAAGTGATGAATAAGTTTGCAAAATGTGGTATAATCTATTGTCTATATGCTGTCTCTGTCTTCACCTCTTTCTCTCTTTTGTATGTTCTAGCCCATGCTACATAGCTTAGTGTTTTTATGAATGAATCTTTTGAGCACTTACTTTGTTGCTCTGCAGGTTGCTTGTGTTATGACAATTTGGAGTCAACTCCAACCTGAATATGCTGCAAACATGTGGAATGAGGCCTTGAACAAACGACTTGGAACTAAAGTATGCTGCAATTTAATTGTGTCATTATGGTTTAGCTTATGACAGTAAATTGAATCCATGTCTTCAGTTGTCTAGCATAAGTCACGATATGCTTGTGATGTGATCTATTAAATACATTAGTAAGCAATTATCAATTGGAATTATTTTTTATATATATTCAAGGTATTTTGGGGCCTGTAAAACATACTAGGCATCTCTATCTCTTATAACTGCTTTGTGATAATCTGGAATTTCACCATCAGCTGAAAATAAGTGAACCATACACAGACATTTTTGTGTTTCTACAGGGACTTGACCTTTCAGAAGTTTTAGTAGAAGTTGAAAAGCGTGGATCATCTTTTGATGAACTGCTAGCAATTCCAGAACAGGATGACTGGGTCTACAGTGATGGGAAGTCAACTTCTTGCATTGCTTTTATACTTGAGATGTACAAGGAGGCAGGATTGTTTGATCCAATTGCTAGTTCTGTTCAAGTGACAGAGTTTACGGTGAGTTTGTCTGGAAAGTTTGATTTCTGTCTTTTGGATTGCAATATAATAGTAATTTTTGAATTTTAGCCTGCACAAAATTCATGGGAATGATTGAGTAGTATATAGAATCTGTTATCTTGGCCGTTCAGAATTTTTGTGTGCCCTTACAACTATTTTTAACTGAACCTTATTTCAAAATGGTTTATCAAATTTCCAAAAGTTTCATTATTATGTTGCTTGAGCTGTGGAGCGCTTTAGCTAAAGGATTGAAGGATGACTGTATGATATGTCTAATATAGATGAGATCAAACGAATGTCTGCAGAGACTTGTTCATGAAATGTGTTGCACACTTTATAGTGTTCTGACTCTTGATGCTGTCCACTGTGCAAAGAGTCAAAGTCACTTGGGTGTTTCAGAGACAGTAGTGTCCATGCCATCTTCATTCAGTGAAATCACCCAATAGTTTTTTTGCCGTCTTTATAAAGCAGGAAATATGACTAAAGAATTAACTAGTGACTATCTCATCCTTAAACAAATTTACTAAGTAAGATCAGGTCGTTGAGCAGGGCTGATATAATGTATATTTTTTTAACGACTTTAGAAAATAAAGAACTTTTTTGTAGTAGTTTCTTGACTAGGCGCTTATGGGCTTATTTTTGTGCAATAAATGCAGATAAAAGATGCTTACATTCTCAATTTTTTTGAGAACAATTCTAGTCGCTTGCCAAAATGGTGCAATGATGGAGACACGGTGAAGCTTCCTTATTGTCAGATTAAAGGCAAGTATCGAATGGAGTTACCTGGATACAACACCATGCAACCATATCCTCATATGAATGAAAGGTGCCCATCTCTTCCCCCAAAGTACTCAAGAGCCAGGAATTGCTAGCAGTCTTCAATTTTTTAATCGATCCTACGGCTGATAGCTTCACCAGAATTTTTCGTCCTCTTGATTTTTGAATTGTTTAGGAGATGCCAAATGAATGATTGATGTTGTTTATATCTATTTGATTTTTTAGAAGAAGTTCATGTAATTTGTATTATCTTTGTAGCTAGATTGAACGTAATGTAAATATATGGGACTTGAATATCTGTATATGATACATAATTAATTTGAATATCTGTATCATATGAAACATCTATTCCAAGTCTTGCATCTCCAATTTTGTCTTCAATGAGTCTGGCAACATTGAATTCAAAACTTGAAAAATTTTGTACTATAAAACCACTCCCGTAACGAGGGCATGAGTGAGGGTAATCTTTATATATTGTTTTATCCTTACATATATTTGTTCCAATCCACCCCCTTGTTCTATGAGTTGTGAAAACAGCACTTTTGTAGTTTACTCAAATCTGCACAGTAACCTCAGTTTTGTTAGAGTATTACTGGCTTACCATTTACAGAACTTAGACATTGGCAGATAGATTAATTTGCAGAACAACATAACAGTTTTAAGATCTGGTATAATCGTATAGCTAGGAACTTGAAACACATGTAATTTTTCTATTTTTCTCTATTTCTTGCATCTCTTGTTCTTTTTGTTGGCGGTGCAAGAGGATTCATATTTATTAGCAGTTCAATTTTAGTATAAGTATGGTATCAAACTTTCATAGATTTCTCGAGCTTCTACAATCATGTCACAGCTAAGTGTGTGCATACTTATCTATCGCCCTTAAAAATTTACAGTAAACTTTCCTACTGTGTCACTGATGCATCTGGATAAAATGTTTTTTTTTTCCTTTTATATTTTACATAAATGTAGTTTTTACTATTAAAGAAGAGGTATTTACAAAATATCATACATATATATAGATTCATTTTAAAAGACAATTAATCGCTCAAATGGTTAATCAAGTTAATAATTGGTTTGCTTATTAATCACTTTTTGAAAATTATTAATTGTTGAGTGATTAATTATTTTTAAATTTTAAGATCATTTTTTCCAAAATTCTTTTTATATAGGTCTCTCCCCTTTTTTTAAAAAATGCATTGCAATTTTTTTTTTTTGATATAACCTGAAGATAGTCTCATTCAACTTTTTTCGGTCAACTTTTTCTCAGAACGGCCCGAAGGTTACACCATCATTGACACAGCGGATGTATTAAGTTTTGCCATCGAAAAAAAATGAAACTAATTCCACATTCAGGGAGAGAGACACATTCTCTAGCCCTCAAAGATTTTCCAAGAATTTGTTTCAAGCAAACTCTTGCAAGCTCGGAAGTGCGCGTTAGCGCACCAGCTGAAAAAGCCCTTTCCCCTGACTCTAACAAGTAAGCAAGCTTCACCCCTCTCCTTCTTTCTTGGGATAGGGGGAAGGTGGCCGGGCCTATCATCCCAACCAGGGGTATGCTGGGATTCGCGAAGAGCAGCACCTTACGATGTTCATGACCAATCGGATCCTGACGTACCAGTAGGTACCAGAGGAGATCGCTATGATCGTTACTGTATCCGTATTGAAGAGATGCGACAAAGTCTGCGGATCATTTTGCAATGTCCTAAGAAAATCCCTAGTGGCATGATCAAAGCCGATGATCGTAAGTTATGTCCTCCATCACGATGTCGAATGAAACTATCCATGGAATCGTGCGCCGTGTGAAACGTAGATCATCGCCGTTCTTAACCGAGACTCAGGTTAAGCTCTGTCTCGGAACCTTGTGGGGTTAGGAGTAAAGCATCCCGAGGTTGGCGCATCTCGTTGGGCGTGGAGAAGCATTGGGAACCTCCATTTCTTTCTTCGGAGCCGTTTGCTAGGGGTTAAATGCATTGCATTTTTTTATTTTTTTGGGTACATAAATGCATTGCATTTTTACTTAGTTGTTTGTCTCACTTGAATATTCTGGTTGTGAAGTTTGGCATCCTTGTGCTTTACCCTAGCAAACGAGTCCTCCTAATAAGATTTTAATTTTAAGATATTTTAGAGTTTGAACACAAAATAAGTTATTATAAACAAGGGAAAAATATTTGTCCTTTTAAATGACAGAATTTACGTTGTTTCACTCTCACAAAAAGGTGAAATCCACACCTTTATTTTTTTTTTGTCCACTCTCTTCCTTATAATCTATCTTTTTCTCTCACTTAAAATGACATAATTTTACATTCTTTAAAATGATACACACTTTTTCCTATAAACAAACACTTACAAACATTGACTTATTTTTGGTACATCTTAGGAGAGAAGACCAGCAGCTATTGAAATGACATCTAAGAAAGTTTCCTTGGCCAAATTTCAACTAGTAGCCCTTGAGTGGGTACTGGCGTTGGATCCCTGCTAAAGAAATTGTCTGAACAAAGCTTCCAACTGAACCGGGTCACAATGTAATGAATTGCCACGAGAATTTCAACCCTGGCAAACTCATATCCTGGACACATTCTTGCTCCTCCTCCAAATGGAATGAAGCAGTAGGGTGGGACAGATGCTTGGTTTTCAAATCTACTTGGATCAAACTTCGATGGTTCTGAGAAAATGCTGTTGTCCATGTGGGTCATTGCTGTAACCCAGAAGATCTATAAAAGTATAAAAAGGTTTTTATCAGTATCATAATTACATGGAGTGTAGTCCATCAATGACAGACACCACCAGAGTATCACTTACCTGCCACCCTTTAGGTATAAGGTATCCACCATATTCAATGTCTGCCACAGCCTTTCTGAAGCCACCAAAGACGGGAGGAATCATCCTAAGAGTTTCCATTGCTACTCTCCAGGTGTACTTCATCTTTGAAATGTCTTCCCATGTCAGTGTCTCTCCTGAGGGCTTGCTTTTTGCTATCTCTTCCTGTTCTGCAACCACATAACCAAATATATAGAATTCTTTGCCTTAACTTTTAACCAAATATATAGATTTCTTTGCCTCAACTTTCAAACAAGAAGAATCCTCATTCCTCAATAACCAAGAAATAAGGCCTGTCTGTGCATACCTTGAAGAACTGCTGCATAAATAGCAGGTTCATTAGATAAGAGTCGGATAATGAAAGTGATTACAACCGATGAAGTGTCATATCCGGCAACCATGACAAGCCTAACATTGTGAATGATTTCCTTCTCGGTTATAACTTGTTTGTCATCTTCACCAACCATGCCAAGTAAGCAACTAATTAAGTCTTTGTGAGCAGAGGCTCCATTTTGCTCGAGTTCAATCTTCTTCTTGTGCACAATCTCCTCCATCATGTTCTGGATCCTTGCACTGGCTCTGAGGCTGCGGTTGTAACGTGTGAAAGGCACGTTAACTGGGACTGACCACATTCCTCCCATCATCGCTTTGAAGCAAGCCAGGAATTCATCTCTTTGTTTTCCACGCTCAATACCAAACAGAAGAGAGCAAATTATGTTGAATGTCATAGTCTTCATCAAGGGTAACACCTATCAGAAAAACAAAAATAAATAGCAGTACAATATTTTTTTTACCAACTTTGATTTGCTTTTGCTTAATCCTAAGAGAAAAAAAGAGAGTAGGTTATGTTGTAAATATTCAAATGAGTGATGAAGTCCTATATCCCTTGTTGTTTTGATTTGTCTCTTAACCCTCTCCACATGACAGATTTAGACTGTTTAATGTAACTGATATTGGGTTGTAACTTGTAACAACATACCTTGATCTGTTGTTTCCCATGCCAATGCATTTCAAGGTGCCTCTTAACTTCTTCATCCATTTTTCCCACATACAGCTTCAAGGATTCTGGCTTCAAGAATGAGACAAGTGCATTTCTGACTCGGCTGTGATCTTCACCACTCAGTTCCATCAAATTTCGGTCACCCAAGATCATTTTGATGGACTGTGTTTGCTGGTTAACAATTGTGTTCCCACTATTCTGGAATATTAACTTATTCGCAGCCTGTCCATAGATAAAAACTGTTGGTTTTCCGAAGAGGCTTAGCTTTGAAATAGGACCATACTTCTTGGTTCTTTCTTCAATCCATTTTTCTGCAACGTTTGCACGCATAGCTCGAAGAAGGCCAAGGCTTTGACCAATAATAGGTATTCCAAGTGACCCAGGAGGGACCCTTTTGGATGGTTTTCTTCTTATTCTATGCAGAAGGAGAATTGGGATGAGTAAGAGGAAACTAACTAGGAGAACACTCATGGCTCAAGACTTCCTTTTCAGGTTCTGAAGAAAGCAGTGGAGGGGGTATATTTGGCTCTCAGGGTTCTAAATCTAATAAATGCTCCTAAGTCCTATCTATGATAGTGTTTCGGTGATGCTTTTATAAGAGGACTTGTCCTACTCCTTTGCACTGATCTCTAACTCGATTGTCCATATATGAACGGTTTTGATAGCAGCCGGCAGTGCATATTATCAAAACTTAATTCTAATATATAATAATCCTTCCTTCTCTGTGTGATTTAATCTGCCCAAAATGTAATGAATTCGATTTTGAAAATAATATCTCTTGAGAAAAGTGGAGAGATTCAAACTCGAAACATTAGCCGGGTCTATTAAGGTTTTGTTGGATATTATAAGAAGGATTCGTTTTTTTTGCCGTCGACGTAAATAAGTTATTTATATTAAGTCTAAAACGATGTATTTTTGTAATTATAATTTATTTCAAGGTTATAATAGTCGTTCTCATTATAATTTTTTAACCTTTCAACCCAAAACAAACGACGTTATTTTGAAAATGAATATAAATAATTTATCTATATTTATGGTAGAGTTTAACATAAAATGAAAATTTTGTTTTATTGTACTGAAAAAGATTCATTATGTCTATTTATGTATCCCTCAGCGCATACAGGATAAAATTGCCATAACCAAGACCCCAAAAAAAAAAAACTGCAGAAGTATTAGTACCTAATAATGCCAAAAAAAAAAAGGTTGAATCTGGAGAGTATGGACAAACCGAATTGAGCCCACTGGAGAGTGCCTCATCATTTTCTTAGTTAACAAATGCTAGCGTGCTGGCTCTCCTATTTCTTTTTTTTTGGAAATATTCCATCGGTTCATCGCTTCGCAACTAATCCGATTCGGGGCGGGTCTAGGATTAAGGCTTTAAACTCCTCCCAAAGGTGGTACTAGGAGGATTTGAACACATGCTCTCTCCCCACCTGCTCAGCTCTTATGCGCCAACTGAACTACCACCATTTGGTTCCTCTTTCTTAATTCATTGGTTTTTGCTTATAGGGAAATATTACTCTCCTTCAACATGAGATATCATCTCTCATTTTCTCTCTCTTCGATTTTCGTGCCCCACCTTTTTCTTTTTTTTCTTTTTTTTTGTAATGGTGGGACCCACCTATTTTCTCTCTACAACATAAGATATCTATCTTATGTTGAATGAGAGTAATAAAACCCTTGCTTATATTAGTTTTTATAACTTAGAAGTTATATAAATAATATTGCATTGTTGAATCATAATAGTTTTATTTAGGGAAAAACAAACAAAGGAGAGGGGAATCTGACAGTCAATATGCTTTGGAGATGAATTCAAAACAGTTGGTGTTGAATATATAAAACAGCATCTCACTTTTCAAAATACTTATCACACTCCGTTGACCAGAAAGAGCATAAGTGCATAAGGGTTTGTTTGTTTAATGTTTTCACAATGAATGTGTGTTAATTGTGAAATAAAAATAAAAAATTACAAAAACTTTAAGGCTATTAGGAAAATATAACCGAGAAAAAATAGGAAAAGATGAGAGTATTATTTAGGGTTTAATGTCTTCCATATTATAGGAAATAAAATCATATCTTATATATACATAAAAGTGTGTAGAGTCCATACAAGGTTATGTGAAAAGAAGAGAGAGAAAAAGAAAACATGAGTCTTATGCACCTTTATGTGTGTAGAATATAAATTTATTTCTTATGATATGAGAAACATCAAACCTACTATTTTTTATACTCTGTTGTATCTTACCGGTTTTGTACATGAGTTTTACTTATAAGCTCTTCACCATCAATAGTTGCATGTTGTATGGGAAGTATTTTCTCATGTTGTGATCTTTGTTTTAGTATATATATTTTTATATTTTTTATTTTTTTAGTCAGTTAGTTATTTTGTTACAGGTGTACATTCCCTATGTCATGAGCCCATGTGCTCCACCTTTCTGTTAAGAGCTTATATGCTCCACTTACGCTTTTTGTTTTGATCCTTTTCTATTATTCATTGCTGCATATATATAGCAGTAAGCATTGTACATGAATATTGAGAAATAATGAAATTCATTTTGTCAGATTTCTTCTTTTGTAATATGGTATCAGATGACTTTCTCTGACCTCACCTTCTTCTTCTTCAATGGCTCGAGGTGGTAAAAACACCAATCTCACTTCATCCTCTACATCTAAAGCTAGTTCTTTTTCCTCTCCAATGGAGGATTCTACCAGTCCCTTTTATCTACAGAATGGAGATAATCCTGGTCTCATACTTGTTACTCATTCACTTACAGGTCCTAACTTCAATTCTTGGAGCAGGGCCATGTTGATTGCTCTCACCGCCAAAAACAAGGCGTGTTTTATCGATGGAAGTCTCCTCCGTCCAGAATCATCTGATCTCCTGTTCGCTTCTTGGAATAGATGTAATTCCATGGTGACCTCATGGCTCCTTAACTCTGTTTCCAAGGAGATTGCCGACAGTTTGATGTACTTTACCACTGCCTATGACCTCTGGGATGATCTTCGTACTCGCTTTCATCAGGCTAACTGTCCACGAATTTTTCAGCTCAAACAACAAATTTCTTCGCTGCATCAAGGAGCTCTTGATGTCAATTCTTATTACATAAAGCTGAAAATTCTTTGGGACGAGCTTCAGGATTATTCTCCCAATTTCTCTTGCACCTGTGGTGGTCTTCGAGGTTTATCTGCATCTCTACAACAGGATTATGCAATGAAATTTTTAATGGGGCTCAACGACTCCTTTTCTTCCATTAGAGCTCAGATTCTTCTCATGGAACCTCTACCTCCATTGTCTCGAGTTTTCTCTTTAGTTTTACAAGAAGAACGTCAGAGACAGATATCTACTTCATTTCCTCTGTCCATTGATGCTCCTCTTGCAAACTCAGCTTCTGGATCTTCTGCATCTACCGTTCCGGCTCCATCTCCGATGACTGCTGCCGTCACAAATCAACGATGTTCTCGTCCATTCTGTTCTCATTGCCAGGAATTGGGTCACACGCGTGAAAAGTGCTTCAAGCTACACGGTTTTCCTCCTGGCTACAAACCCAGGAATCCAAAACCATTTTCTGGCCCACCTCACAACCAAGCCCAAGTCCACATGGCTACTTCACAGCCCAATTCTCCTCCATTACCCACTTTTTTATCCCCTACCCAATATACCCAGCTTCTTTCTCTTCTCACGAATTTTCCCAGCACCACAAATTTGCCATCTGTCCCTGCTTTGTCTCCCGATCCGCCACCTACCACCGCTCCTGCTGCTAACCCCATGATGGCGAGCTTCAGTGGTAAGTCATCTCCCTTTATTTCTTCTACTTGCTGGGTACTTGACACTGGTGCTACTCACCATGTCACCTACATCGCATCAGAATTGTAGGAACATCAGAATTGGTCATAGAAGGCAAAGTAGTTAAAGGGGTGAAAAAAGGTGCAGATGAAGCAAAATGGAAGATGGACTCATGAAAGACAACATCCCTAGAGATAACAATGCGGTTGGTATTCAGATCAAGGAGTTTATAGGCTTTATATCCATGGGGATATCCAATGAAAACAGCAGGTGAAGAATGGGCAGAGAACTTGTGCCTTACACGAGATAAAGTGGAATAAAAACATAAAGAACAAAACACATTGACATTGATTGCCACTTGGTTAGACAACAAATTGTGAAAGGATACCTTGAGACTTTCTCCATTGTATTTGCACATCAGCTGGCTGATATTCTTACTAAGGCTCTTCACCGTGCTCAGTTCACTTCCTTGCTTTCCAAGATGGGAGTGCACAACATTCACTCTCCATCTTGAGGGGGAGTTTTAGTATATATATTTTTATATTTTTTATTTTTCTAGTCAGTTAGTTATTTTGTTACAGGTGTAGATTCCCTCTGTCATGAGCCCATGTGCTCCACCTTTTTGTTATGAGCTCATATGCTCCATTCACGCTTTCTGTTTTGATCCTTTTCTGTTATTCATTGCTGGATATATATAGCAGTAAGCATTGTACATGAATATTGAGAAATAATGAAATTCATTTTGTCAGATTTCTTCTTTTGTAATACCATAAAAATTATAGGATTTATTCTCCTAAATTGTTAAAAATTATATATTTTTATATTATGTCTTTCGGAGATTGTCCACATTCACATCAATATTATTTACAACAGTTTAATATTATTTTTTAGGTTTAATTTGGCCCCTCTATGTCCAAATTCTGAATGCAAATGGATACTGGTAGACACTTCACATGTTTTATAATTTATACCACCAGATATAATTCAAAAATAAAGAGCTACTATATGTAGAACCATATTAATTAATAATAACCACCACCACTCACAAATTACAAGCTAATCATATTTTAAATTTGTTTCCTCACAAGTTTCGGAATCAGGTCAGCACACCAAGTATCACTAATGAAATAAATCACTTATTAATAATTCCTTAAGAGGCACTGTCAAAACCAAGTCTAAATGTTCACAACATAATTTATTTAATCTGTCAATTAGATTGTGAAAATATCCATAAGCAGTAGTTCGGAAATAACTATCACCCTAACTTGCCTCAAGTCAAGAACCTTACAAAATTAACATATCACGATCAGATTATGAGGACAAAATAATCTATTACCATCATAAATGTCAACGAAATAAGAAAAATCTGTTTAGCACAACGGTGATTAGTGTTATGTGTGGAGCAATTTGACAGGGTGTGAACAAAAAATAATTAATGGCTGGTTAGTTCCTGACTTCCTGTTTGCAAAATAGTATCCAGATCTCCAAATCAGCAATGAGATTCTAGAACGAATATTATGACATGTACAAAACAAGTTTAAGATACTAACACACTAAAATTTTCCTTGTATTCTCAAAATAAATGGAACGGTGAAGCCTTCATTATGTAGAAAGAGTTTAAAGAAAAAATTTATTTTCATGGATTCATTTTTCTTCATAATAGATATTTTCATGTATTTATAATTTACAAACTGAAAGTTGCCCACCCAATTCGTTATGTCTATTTTATTTATCTATCTGCATATTATATATTACCGGATAAAATTGTCAGGCTGGTTCAGGGGAGTTCGTGGCGGCCTGGCAGGGGACCACCTCCAATAGACTTTTTATTATTAACTAATGTGAGATTCATCACACTTGAATACTTCAATAAAAATTATCTTAAAAGAAGAAGAAGAAACTACCTCCACAAGTATAGTTACCTAATGTAACAAAAAAGAACCCGTAAGATGTCAAGTGGAATCGAACAACGGTACCAGAGTAGGATCCTGTATAGGGTATGAAGTATGGACAAACCATAATTTGCTAAGTTAATGCAAAGTAAATTAATTAATCAAGGCAAGTAGTATGCTTATCTAATTATTAGGCTAATCCCATTTGGCAGCAAAATGAAGCGCTGTAAGAACTGATCTTAGCATTTTTTGTTTTTGTTTTTTTTTCCTGGTGGGTGAGGTGGGGTGGGTGGGTTAGAATGATCTTAGCTTATCCAATCATGGTTTTGGGGAGTTTTTTGTAATAATTATTAGGAAAGTCGCCCCTTTTTTTCTAAACCAACAACTGCACAGTCCAAGACTCAACGTCAACTTATATATTTAGGGAATAACATCTATCCTTTTAAAGGATATTAAATTATATCATTTTAGATCCTAACCGTTGATTTTCGTCCATCAACGATTATAATTTATTGAATTAAAATTATTAATTAATTAATAATAAATTTGACCCATTAAGTTTGACCCAATAGATTATAACCGTTGATGGACGGAAATCAACGGTTAGGATCTAAAAGGATATAAACTTATATCATTTAAAAGGATAGATATTTTTCCTTATATTTCAATATAAGCCAAGTGATTTTAATTTTTCTATAATTATTGGAATAACCTAGAGTTAGTACCTGCTAAAGAATATAATTAATCTCTTTATCAGCATAATTTTTTTAGATGCTTTATCAGCAGATTAATTATTAAACTGACTATCAGCAAAATTCATATTAAGGATATTGCATAATTATATTTAAATTTTTCACATTTAAACAAAAGGTAAATGAATTGTTATATTACATGATATAACATAACAATTCCTACTCTCGTAATGGAGAGAAGAGAGGAAAGAAAAGAGTGAAGAGAGAAAAGTTAAGGGATAGGACCCAGATTCCGTTGCAAGAGTAGGAATGTTTTGTTATATCATGTAACATAACAATTCATTTACTCTTAAACAAAAATAGTTTTATTTGGGTAAAATGACCAGAGGAGGCAGAAGTTGGAAACTGTATAGTTATTTGTTAATATTTTTTCTTCATGAAATAGTGTGAAAATACCAGGAATCGGGAGGGGAAGGCACAAAAGAAAATAAAGGACAAGCTAGTTACAATTTAAAGATTTTTTTTTTCATCACAAGTTTCATAGTTAGATCAGCACACGAAGTGTCGCCCAATACAGTAAATCAAGCTATTTAACCTAATTTCTGAGAGGCCCACGGCAGAACATAATCTAAATGTTGACAATTCAATTTACTTCAGATTTCAGATGTCAGGTAGAATCACGCCGCGCAAAAGAAAATTTGCATAGTCAAATAATAAGACAATACATTTCATTTGGAATTTCCATCGAGTTTATCAATCATGCAACAAATAAGCACCTGTCCTGCATTTAGGGCAACCTCAATAATACTAAATTAAGAGAAAAAAGAAAGGAGAAAAAAGAGAAGTGACCCGATTCTCCTACATGTATGAGGACATCGACGACGACAACAACAACAACAACTATCTTTTGTTTCGTACTCTGAAATCACTCAAGTATATAAGTACAATGATACAAGTACAATGATATATCTCAACCATCTAAGGCATGCAGGTCACCCAAAATCACTGTATTATATTAAGAAAACATATCATATATCTTTTTTTCATCATTCAGCCTTGGCAGGAAGATGGTTGCCACCAGTTGCTAGTTTGTAGAGATAAAATGCAGTCATGAGAGCACTGCAAGAAAAAGAAAAGCAAATTTCTTAACTCCGGATACAAACATCACACATTGCTCCACTTGGGAAATGCAATCAATGCACATCCATAGGCAGTAGTTTAGAAATAACAGACACCCTAACTTGCCTCAAGTCAATAACATTACAAAGTTAACCTTTCATAATCAGATTATGAGAATAAAATAATCCATAACCATAACCAGCATCAATGTCTACAAATGTATACATTAAGTGAAGACACCACTAAAATCACGTAACGTGAAAAATCTGTTTAGCATAATAGTGCTCGGAGATAGATGTGGAGCAATTGGACAAAATATAAACTAAGTAATGGCTATTAGTGCTTGATTCCTGACTTCCTATTTGAAAAATAATATCGATCTTCAAATCAGCAATGAGAAGTTAAAACAAATTTTAGAAGAACTTCCACAAAACAAGTTATGGATAATAGAACACTAAAATTTTCCTTTTATTCTCAAAATAAATGGAATGATGAAAAGCCTTCACTATTCAAAAAGAGTTCAAAGAACAAATTTAATATCATGGAAGCATTTACTTATCATAAAAGATATGTTCATGGATGAATAATCTACAAGCTAACAACTTATCCAGCAATTAAATCTTAAAAGTTCAAATTTAATTCCCACAACTCTGTGAGAATGAAACTATGTTCAGAATATGAGCTTGTGGTACTTCTAATCAATCCTTTAATTACCTGATTCCTGCAACTAGACCAGCAGGCATAATCTTGGATGTTTGCATGTAACGCTCTCCCATAACCCAAGTAAGTATGGCTGCACAAACTGTTTTGCACAATACAAATAGTAAAAGAATAGAAAACTACTTTCACAGATATGGACCATAATTAATGCACTGAACATAGTTTGTCAGGTGAATACACATTAACGGACATACATTCCCCAATACAAGCACAGAGATAGCAATTGTTCCTATATATTGGTTGCAACTTGTCAAAATATTCTTAAAAAGTTAGACAGACATATGATTCATGCTTAATTTTGGGATTCACAGAGATTGATAACACAATCATATATGTTTCAATCCAGCTGAAGTTTCTATGTGCACTTTTTATTATTTGGTAGAAGCAATGCCACTAATTGCTCACATAGAGCATGCCTTTCATTAGAAAGAGAACATACAAGTACAATTGTTCAAAGGCATGAGTCAAGTAGAAGGCTTAGGTAAGTCAAATAAGTTTGTCAGATGATCTGCTATGGATTATGCAATGGGAGTAAAATATGGTAACAAAAAGACAGCACTAAAATCTCATAAAGAATAAACATTTGATCTAATAGCCCAAGAAATTTTTAATCCAATTCTAGAAACCCTATTATGATATGTTGCAAATGAAAGGCATTACTATTATCATATCAGCCCCTATAATACTTAACCATTCGCTAACTGCCACCAGCCATTAAACATGAGCAAATACTTCTTCCTTGCTGAACAATTATCCGTGTTACATGTAAAATATCGACTTAAAAACATTGCCATAGTCACCATTCTCACAAGGTGGAGGAGACTTGGGATTTATAAATTCAGCCATGATCTGTACTTTCTGTCTATCCATCTAGACACATTTATCTTGGAATATCAATTGGGATCTTTTCAGACATCACGAGCACTAGTAAGTACACTCACTTAGCTCTAAACATTTCTACATAAATCTTCTCTCATGATGAATAGTAATATACAAATTTAATGGAAATAAACGTGTTATATTTGTAAGCATTTTAAAACCAAAAAATTTAATATAAAACTCTACTCTCAATAGAATAATATTTGTTACAAATATTTCCCCTTCTTATAATATTTTAGATTTAATATTCTAAAGCCTGGTCTTATTTTCAAAGGTATTACACAAAGTTCAAGTAATAGCATGAACCATGTTCCATTGCATCAACCATACTAATGGCAAAACTGTAATGGGGTCAACACACAAGTCTGATAAGCAATGACAACTTGACAAACCACAATCCAATATATCTAGGTCAGGCTCAATGCATTCATCGATGCTCCCACGCCTTTCAATATTTTCCACAAAAAAACTCTTTCACAACTCTTCGACAACAAGTCAATAACACATCTATGTATCACTTCTATTCTTGTCATTTATTCCCTTCCTCTCAACCTTATTGTCTATTATAGCCAACCTAACAAATCCTCCTAACACCCTCATAATCACTTAAAATAGAAAGTAGTAAATGAAAAAGCAGAAGCATTTAATATATTGGAAACCCAAAAAGCATTTAATGCTATTCTGTTCAAGTGATTCAGAGGGTTATGAGGCTGAATCACTTATCACCCAAATATTACCACCCTAAGATAGAGTCACAGAGAGAGGGACAATTAAAATCCAACATCTCAGACCATCTGAAACGAATCCAATAAATCCACATGTATAAATCAAATTGATAACATCTTGCCTTGCATCAACCATTACAAGCAAAATCGTCAAATCACGATTTCTAGGATATAACTTGTTCCAAATTCAGATACAAAAACCAAAACATCAACCAAGTCAATAATCAACACAAACATTTTTATTTAATAATAAATAAATAAATGAAAGGGAAACATACCGGTCTCGAGAATCAAAGCAAGGTAAGAGTTCTTTCGCTTGCCAAAGGCATTGAGACTGAGATAGCCAGCGAAGATGAGAAGCAAACCAGAACCAACGCCTCCACCCAGAGAAGCTGTGCTCCCTTTATTAATGTACCCAAACAGGCCCCCAGCCACCAATACCAACCCGTACGGAATCGTGAAACAGAAATCGTGCATTCTCTTTCTTTTTTCTTTTTTCCCTGAAAAAACTGTGATTTTCCGGGAAAATTCAGATGATTTGAATCGGAAGAATGACAGAAAAAGTCCGAAACTGAAACTGAGATAGTGTGGCGCGTGGAGTGCACAAGTCAATATCAATAGCCATTTACTTTATTTTCCGTATTTGCCCCTGGACTACCGTGTAATTTCGGAATTGTATTCGTTGCTCTGGTCAATAGTCAACCCATTTGTTCTTTTGAATTAGTTAAAAGTTTTTCACAAGATTGATTAGATTTTAAAATTTAATAATAATTAGATATATCCTCCATCTTAATCATTAACTCTTGAATATAATGATTCATGTAATTTATAAATTAAAATTATTATATTTAAATGAGATAGTAATGATATAGCCAGACCTTTTAAGATTAAAGATTATCATAACAATAATCACCTCTTGTGTAATATATTTCATAATGTTAAATTTTACCCAAAATAAAAAATAAAATAAAATAATCGATGAATTGATTGAAAAAATTGTCGAATAAATAATATTGGACTGGTTTTTTTTTTTGATTTGGTCAGTTTAATCAAAACATTTATGTTCTTTGACTGTTGATTACTAGGTGTTTAAATTTGAAAGTCTCAAAGATAACTCAAAATTTCTGGAAGGAACAAATTAATTATTTATGTTTGACCAAATATCATTACGAAAAAGAAAAGAAAATGTGATGAATTACTTTGTTTTTCTTTTTCTCCTGATATGAGCGCATTTTTCTGTTTTTTAAGTATTTTTTCATTAAAAATTAAAATTTTATAAAAGTTTAAAGTTTCTAAAAATAATTTAGATAACTTTATCTAATGTTTATCAAAATACATACATAAATGTGGGTGGATACATATTTTTTTTCTCTTTTTCTTTTACATGGGTCTGCATGAATCCCATATATTTTGTGAGTGTATTTAGATGAATTTTAGATAAAATTATTTAAAGTAATTTCAAAAACTTTAATCCATTTTATAATAATTAAAGAAACTTTAAACCTTAAACCTTTAATCCATTTCTCTCTTTTCCCGTCACCGACAAGCAAGATGGACGATTCCTGCCATCGCTTTACTTTCTCTTTTTTTATTTAAAAAAAAAATTCTAGTTTTCTTTTTGCATGTATTTTCCTTTTTTCTTTTATACAACTGAAAATTTATCTATCGAAATATCTTATTTTGATTAAAGAGAATGAATAATCAATTTTGTGATTTCATTAACTATTGTGTATAATTTTAAATTTAATATATTATTGAGTTACAAATCATAAAAATTATAAATTATTAAGTAAGAGCTATTAACTGTGGATAATTTAGCGTTAATCAATCTTAAAATAGGATTTAATGTATAAATAAATTAAAAAGGAAGTTTAAAAATTAAATAAAAAAGAATTATCGAAAGTATTTTTGTCTATTTAAAACATAACATGACACAATCTGACTCACACAAAACACATATAAAATATCATTATCCTGGTTAGGCTGCTCATTTGGTGCACACCAAACACAGAATAAAATATGAGCTTATCAAACTCATATCCTATCATACAATTATCCAACCCACTTATCTTATCCATCCTTATCTTATCGTGTGCATCAAACGAGCCCTTAAGGATAAAATGATAGTAAATATAATATTTTTCCATTAATTAATAAGTTTGACCTAATAAATTATACCATTGATTGTTGAAAATTAATGGTTAGAGTTTGATGTCAAACTTTCAGTGTCAAAAGATCATGCCCCATATAATATGATTCTAATAATTTGTTTCATAGTACATTAATATCGAGATTCAAAAATTTGCCAAAAGAGAAAGAGGTAATCACAAAAAATGGAAAAGGAATAGCTTACAAATTAAAATTAACAATTGGTATCTTACATAAGTGAAGCAAGCCAAGGAACAACTTCTTTATTGCTTTGGCACTCTATGAGTCCTCACCTTTTTTCTCTTGTAATAATTTATTCAGAGCCATCAGTTTTCTTCTCTTCATCGCCTTCACTATCTTCAAACACTTTGAAGTCTGTCATCATCCAAATTGAATTTGCTGCTTTGAGCCGAACACAGAACACATAGTGGGGCTAATTGGGTCAGTAAGTTTACTATTTTCTCCACATTGGAACCGCGTAATCACTACTTCTCTTCTCCCTTATATACTTCAACATTAATTTCAGGTATTGGACACTACTTTAACATTTAATTAATGTTAGAATCTTTTGAACTTTTGGATTGAAATTCCTGTCATCACCGGTTATTATCGCTGTATATTTTTCAAAGCATATATATAATTCTTTCACTAGAGTTTTTACTATTTTTTAAACTTTTTTCTTTAAAACTTAAAAAAATCATTTTTTTATTAATTATTTTATATTTATTCTCGCTCTTTGAATATTTCTTAATCACCTCCCAACCCGGCCCATTAGTTAAACAGGAACGGACTAAGCTTTTTAATTCATCTCAAATCAGAACGGGGTGAAACAAGTTTATTTTTTGACGGGTTGATAGCGAGTATAGGCAGACCGAGGCAGATCAGTATAAAATAGGTTCGGCCTAGCAAGCTAACTCGCCCAGCCAAACGGGGAGGGGTGAGAGTTTTTCAACCCAATTTCAAAAATAGGTCGAGACATGTTGACTCATTTTTTAGCGGATTAATAACCGTGTAATTTTGGGATTGTATTCGTTGCTCTGGTCAATAGTCAACCCATTTGTTCTTTTGAATTGGTTAAAAGTTTTTCAAGAGATTGATTAGATTTTAAAATTTAATAATAATTAGATATATTCTCCATCTTAATCATTAACTCTTGAATATAATGATTCATGTGATTAATAAATTAAAATTATTAGATTTAAATGAGAAAGTAATGATATAGCCAAACCTTTTAAGATTAAAGATTATCATAACAATAATTACCTCTCCTGTAATATATTTCATAATGTTCAATTTTACCCAAAATAAAAAATAAAAATAAAATAATCGATGAATTGATTGAAAAAATGGTCAAATATATAATATTGGACTGGTTTGATTTTAATACAAGATCAACTTTAAGATTTTTGGTCAATTTAATCAGTTTAAAACATTTATGTTCTTTGACAGTTGATTACTAGGTGTTTAAATTTGAAAGTCTCAAAGATAACTCAAAACTTCTGGAAGGAACAAATTAATTATTTATGTTTGACCAACTATCATTACCAAAAAGAAAAGAAAATGTGATGAATTACTTTTTTTTTTTTTATCCTCATATGAGTGTATTTTTGTGTTTTTTAAGTATTTTTAATTAAAAATTAAAATTTTATAAAGGTTTAAAGTTTATAAAATTACTTTAGATAACTTATCTATTGTTTATTAAAATACACATATAAAAGTAGATGAGATTTTTTTTTTTTTTTTTCTCTTTTTCCTTTACATGGATCTACATGGACTCCATATACTTTTTGTGTGTATTTAGATGAATTCTAGATAAATTTATTTAAAATGACTTTAGAAACTTTAATCCATTTTTAAATAATCAAAGAAACTTTAAACATTAAACCTTTAATCCATTTCTCTCTTTTCCCGTCACCGACAAGCAAGATGGACGATTTCTGCCATCGTTTTATTTTCTCTTATTTTACTTTAAAAAAAAATTATCCTTTTTTTTGCATTTATTTTCTTTTTTCTTTTTACACAAGTGAAAATTTATCGATCGAAATATCTTGTTTTGATTAAAGGAAGTGAATAATTAATTTTTTTATTTTATTAACTATTGTGTATAATTTTAAATTTAATATATTATTGAGTTACAAATCATAAAAAAATTATAAATTATTAAATAAGAGCTATTAACTGTGAATAATTTAGCATTAACCAATCTTACAATAAGAATTAATGTATTTAAATTATAAAGGAAGTTTAAAAATTAAATAAAAAAGAATTATTGAGGGTATTTTTGTCTATTTAAAACATATCATGACACAATCTAATTCAAACAAAACACAGGATGAAATATCATTATCCTATCAATCTGCTTATCTAGTGCACATCAAATACAGGATAATATATGAACTTATCAGACTCATATCATATCCTACCATTATGGGTGAAAATGGGTCAGGCAGGCCTACAGGGACCTACAGCTTAGCCTATATCATGCCGGGCTTGGCCTATTACATATAGTCAAATAAAACAGGTTCGGATTTTTAAAGAATCCTATTTAGAAAGTAGGTAATGAGCTTTTTTTTACATATCGGGCCTATAAGCCTACTGGCTGGCCTATATCATATTATTTATTTTAAATTAAATAAAATAATATTATTCATAGTAGTACCAAATGGCGATATTTGGTGCATATGAGCTAAGTAGGTGGTGGAAAGACTTAGGTTTGTTCCCTCACCAATACTATCTTTGAGAGTGACAAAAAATCTGTACCAATCTCTACATTGTCATCAGAAACAACATTCAGTGCTGGAGAAAAAGTTATTAATGCCTATCGTTCTAACTTAGCTGAAGATACCATCCAAACTTTAATATACGACGAAGATTGGCTACGTAATAGGTATGTTGAAGAAAAAACAAAAGGTATACATTTACTCAATTAAAATTATTTTATAATTTAATTATATTCGATTAAATTTTAATAGACATTTGACTTTATTTTTTATGCAGGAGGAACCAACATCTCAGCATGTGAGATTGCCTATATAAATCTATTAAAAGATTTTTTGTTTCTTAATCTTATTCTTTTGTTTCTATTCTTTATTCTTGTTTTTTGTTTTCTATATTTACAAATTGTTTGCCAACTTATGTAATCTTGGAATTGTATTTGTAGGGAAGAGAAGATGAAGAGAAGTTTTTGGCTATTATAAGCATCTTGATGTGTTTGTTGGATTCATGTAGTTATTTTAATTTACGTAGTATAGATTTGTTTGTTGAATCTATGAAATATATGTTATTTAGTTTGAGCATTTTGCATTTGAAAGTGACTTAAGTGCAGATTGTGATGAGTTTTGTTGTGATTCATGGTTTTGTTTGGACCTTGAAATTGTGATTTTTGTTTTAGCAATAGAATTTGAGTATTTTGTGAAGTTGATTCATGGTTCTGCTTGAAAATTAAAAATTAACAGGCTAATGGGCCAAACCAGGCCATTTGTTTTTTTTTTTTGTTTTATAAACGGGCTAAGTCAGGCTAACAGTTAGACTCGTACTAGGCTCGGGCCAGGCCAAATTAAAATTTTTTGGCATATGCTTGGGCTTTTTCGGGGAAAAGCTTGGTCCAGCTCAGCCAACTTTCACCCCTACCTACCATTATCCAACCCACTCGTCCTATCTGTCCTGTCCTTATCCTATCTCGTGCACCAAAGGAGCTCTTGAGGATAAAATTATAGTAAGTATAATTTTCCTCATTAATTAATAAGTTTGACCCAACAAATTATAACCATTGATTGACAGAAATTAATGAATAGGATTTTGTGTCAAACTTTCCGTGTCAAAAATTCTTGCGTCATATAATATGATTTTAATTATTATTTTTATAGTACATTAAAATCGAGATTAAAAAATTTGCCAAAAAGAAAGAGGTAATCATAAAAAATGGGAAAGGAATATCTTAGAAATTAAAATTAACAATTGGTATCTTACATAAGTGAAGCAAGCCAAGGAACAACTTCTTTACTGCTTTGGCACTCTATGAGTCCTCACCTTTTTTCTCTTGTAATAATTTATTCAGAGCCATCAGTTTTCTTCTCTTCATCGCCTTCACTATCTTCAAACACTTTGAAGTCTGTCATCATCCAAATTGAATTTGCTGCTTTGAGCCGAACACAGAACACATAGTGGGGCTAATTGGGTCAGTAAGTTTACTATTTTCTCCACATTGGAACCGCGTAATCACTACTCCTCTTCTCCCATATATACTTCAACATTAATTTCAGGTATTGGACACTACTTTTAACATTTAATTAATGTTAGAATCTTTTGAACTTTTGGATTGAAATTCCTGTCTTCACCGGTTATTATCGCTGTATATTTTTCAAAGCATATATATAATTCTTTCACTAGAGTTTTTACTATTTTTTCAACTTTTTTCTTTAAAACTTAAAAAACTCATTTTTTATTAATTATTTTAATTTATTTTCGCTCTTTGAATATTTTTTGGTCAAAGAAGAGCAAATTAATATATACTTTAAGAAAAAGGGTAAATTATAATTTAAAAAAGAATAAAAGAATAAATTAATTTTAAAAAAGGATTAAAACGGTCGATGACCCTGATGAAAGTCAAAAGATAAGAAAATAAAATTATGCAAGTGGTGGGGACAAGCAATAGACAAAGAAGAGCCACAGCACAGGTCAATTATTGTTTCAACTGATATATTATACATTTAAAGTGAAACTTTATACCACAAATGAAATATCTATACAGGGAGTTACGGCCAGCTTTGCACTTATTTGGATTTTCATTAGCTTTTCATTTTACTATTTATTTTCTTCTTTGAGGAAACGAGTTATTTAAATAAAACATGACATTGTCATCCGAAGAAATCATGATCATACAAAAATAAAACAACAATAATAATTTTATGATTATCTATTTTAATTAATATTTTTTTCTCAAAAATTCCCTTATATCCCACCTTTGCAAAGTGATGATTCTCGGCATCAACATATCATATCATATTTAAAGAGAGGATCACTTCCTCGTTTTGGACGCAAACAATTTTTGCAATATATTTTCTGAGAAAGTATCATGACCGCCGACTGATTCCTACAGCTGATTCGTTTGGATTTGGTAATTAAGATCGTAAAAGCAAAGAGTTTGCCTGTACACTTTGAGGGAGGGATCATATGGAAATGATTGAGTATGCTGTGATTCAACCATAAAAATCACAGGATATGGGAGGTGATTAAAAAATTCATTACTTGCAAGAGGAATCTTAATTTCTTGACAATAGATTTGACCGGGCACACGCACACCCATCACTCGGCTTGGAGTTAGAATGAATGTTATGCGAGATGATAAAAATTAAAATTAAAAATAAAATTGTTCCAATGGCTTTTTACTACTACTATTTTTGTTTTTATTGCATTTACATATATATAATTTGTAAAGAACCAATTCAACCCAAAAGCTTAACCTATTGGGTGAGGCTATATTAATGATTTTATATATCTCAACACGCCCCCTCACACGAGAGCCCACTGGGCTTGAAGGGTGGACAATGCACAGGTCCACTTACCTGTGCGAACAAAGAAATTCCACTTGAAAGAAAGTGGGGGGCGGCGAAGATCGAACACGGTACACCGAGGCTTTGATACCATGTAAAGAACCAATTCAACCCAAAAGCTTAAGCTATTGAGTGAGACTACATTAATGGTTTTATATATCTCAATATAATTGATAATATTTCCTTTCTACTGTTAACTTTATGTTGTAGATGGCGGATCAGGAGCGCAATAATGTTGCAATACAGATTGAAGAGAAGCTGGCCAATGCAGAACCTCTACTTACAACTGAATGTTGCATCTACCGAGTTCCCCATGAAACCCGCAAAAACAACAGTGAAACATACACCCCAAAAGTTATTTCAATCGGACCTTTTCACTACGGCAATCAGAGACTGCGAAACATGGAAAGCCACAAACTGTTATATTGCAAAAGATTCATAGAACAACGAGCTCATACAAGCTTGGACAGTTTGGTGAGCTGCGTGCAAGAGTCAGAACCGGATGTTCGTCGCTGTTACTCTGAAAGCATTGAGTTGTCCTTAACGTGCCCTTTTCCTTTGGTGACACTAACCGGTAATGCTATCCCATTCGAAGAATGTTTGGAACATTGGATAACATATGATTTGCTTTTACTCGAGAATCAACTTCCTTTCTTTATTCTTTTTAAGTTATACACTCGAGCTTTTCCCTCGTCCTTGAATAATAATCGGTACCCTCCTTCACTTGAAAATCTAATTTTTAATGTTTTTGATCAATACACTTTACAATTTCGGGACCCTACTAGTAGCATGAAACACTTTACAGATCTGCTCAGAATCTCTCAGTTACCACCTGCTCCACGACCTCCAAGGACATTTAATCATTTCGTACAGAGGCAAATTTATAGTGCAACCCAGTTAAAAAAAACAGGAGTTAAGTTTAAGGTGAAAAATGAAGAAGGCCACTCGTTAGACTTGAAATTAATTTCAGGACATTGTATTGAAATTCGAAAATTGGATTTGTGGGATGATACTGAAACTTTGTTTAGGAATATGATGGCTTTGGAGGAATGCCATTATATTGAAGAATCCTACGTCACCGACTTGGTTATATTCCTTGATGATCTTATCAACACAAGCGAGGATGTGGATGTCCTTGTTCAAAATGGAATAATCAGAAACATGTTAGGCAATAACGAGGCCGTGGCTGAACTGTTCAATGGTCTTTCCAAAAATATTGTGCTAAAGGGTTTTAATTCTGATTACTATCGTATTTTTGAAGAGTTGGAAAAATATTGTAATCATCCTTGGAATGAAGCAATGGCAACTTTGAGAAGTGATTATTGCAGGACTCCATGGCAAGTGGCTGCTTCCATTGCTGGTATTGTATTGCTTATTCTTACTTTTATTCAAACAGTATCTTCTATCCTCCAAGTGTTGCAGGCTTAATGCTTGTTTAATTTAGGCGTGATTATTATGAATTTCCTTGATGCTGATGCTTGTGCTGAAATTGTACTCCTTTCTCTTTAAGGTTATCAAAACATTATGTTTTATATGAAAAGTAGGTCGTTACTTGTTAGTATATTTTTTTATACGAACAATCCTGACGCTAAAATCCTAATGCAACTAATATGCAAATATTACTCTAATTTTACCAAAATTTCATATCAGCACCGAAACTGTAAATGTGTAGAAATGATATGATATGCTAAATTTATACTGAACCGGGGGGCGGGGTGAATAGAGACACTCGTATCTATTCATTATAGCAAGATCACAGGTTTGACAACAAGGGCGGATTTGGGGGAAAAAAAAAGTAGGACTATGAGCAGATTGAAAAAATACGACCAAGGGAACCTTGGCATTTCCCAATTTATTTTTCGTAAGAATAAAATTCACGACGGTTGTATAAAATTCAGAACCCAGTATAGCAGACCTTGACCTTGACCTATAATTACTCACCGGTGCTATTTATATGAAATAATCCCACTCCCCTCTTTGCTTTAAATACACGGAGCAACACCAAAACTTACGGATTTAAACTTAAATAACAGCATACTCATTTATTCTTATTAAGTCATGAACTTAATAGAACATTCCAAGTGCAGAATTTTGCATGTCCTTACATATATAAAACAGTATAAAAATGACCTTAAAAGTAAAAAAAAAAAAAAACAGTTGGATCCTGAGTTATCTTAACAAAACAAAGTTTCATCCTCGGAAGGTTTAAATCTTAGAAGCATTGCAAAGAAGCCCAATATCCATATCTAAAGAGAAGAAACAGAAAATCCACACAAACCATGGTCTAGAGGTGGAACTTTCCATTTCATAAAAAATCGTGAAACTTCTTCTGGGCATCAACAAAGTCATTAATTTCATCCTTAATTTGTCTTGCGAAGCTCCCGAGTTAGATGATCATGACTCTCGCGAAGCGTACTGAGTTGAGCCCTCGCGTGTTCGACCTCGGGGTCCCTGACCATAACACGATGACGCATTTCATCAACCCATGACCTCTCGAATCCAAGTTGGACAGCAGCATCGCATAGTCTATGAAACTCCTTTTCTCGCTGAGAAGTAACACTAATGGGGCTTTCATCTCGAAGGAACAACAGCATATCCGCCAAAGTTCTCAACATCAAGGCTTGAATTAAAGCGCTCACTAAACTCCCCACAAACGTTCCAAAGATGAGGATATACTACTGCTATTGCCTTGGCAAGCAAAGAAATTTGTGCATCATCCAGATCAGCTAATTGCTTATATGCTCCCAATCGCGCAATGATCGATGAATGGCTTATACGAGTATCTGCAGAATCTCCTAAAAGTTGAATTAGTACCTCTACTATGTGAGATGTATACATATATGATGGAAGATAGATAAGAAGGATCGATGTGCTAACCCGGAGGAGCCTCAACGCTCTTGTCATTAGAAACAACACCGATTTCACCACCTTTATCCATCAAGTTGGACCTCTCTTGGATACTATCATCAACACTCTGAGCTTTCTTATTCCTTTGAAAATATCATCACATACTTCCGACTCTGAGTCGATGCATAGAAACTCAAGATTGGAATATAATCCAATCGATTTGGCATTTCTAGACACCATAGATATTTTAATGAATTGGAATCCACATTCACATCTTCTCCCAATGCATTGATCATTATATTCTCCTTAATTACTTGCAATAAAATGGGCTACAGCGCCAACTAGATTGACACATTTTCCCACATCTGAATCTAACATCAAACAAGCACTTACTAGCTTACTCTTAGCAGCACTCACTTTGTTCCTTGCCCTTTCATATGAGTGAATTTTTTCAAATAAACCTAGCCCTAGAGCAATTCTGGTTAAATATTCGACTGAAATCTCATCATTTACAGGGAACGCAGAACATAACCAAAAATGTGACTTGGCTTCTTCAGGGTACAAATCATCACAGGACAGCCAAAGAAGCTTTAGCAAACCTTCCATATCCCAATTTCTCAAACTATCCAATGCACCCCACCATTCCGCTATCTATAGCACTGCGGCATTTCAAAGACTCACCCAAACAGATAACAGCAAGAGGTAGTCCTCCTCGACACGCGTACGAGATTAGTCTTGCTACATGCTTTATTTCTTTAGAGGCGCCTTTTATTCCTGCATGCATTTGAAAAAGATCCCATGCTTCGTCATGCGTTATGATTTGGTTATCCAGTATATCAATGGGACATTTTGCACATCATCCCTAGTTATTATCGCTGTATATTTTGCGGTGCATATACATAATTCTTTCACTAGAGTTTTTACTATTTTTCAACTTTTTTTCTTTAAAACTTAAAAAACTCATTTTTTTTTATTAATTATTTTATATTTATTCTCACTCTTTGAATAATTCTTGGTCAAACAGGGGTAAATTAATATATAGTTTAAGAAAAAGGATAAATTGATATATAATTTCAAAAATGAATAAAATAATAAATTAATTTTAAAAAGGGGTGATGAAAGTCAAAACATAAGAAAATAAATTATGCAAGTGGTTTATCAAAAAAAATAAAAATTATGCAAGTGGTGGGCACAAGCAACAGACAAAGAAGAGCCCCAGGTCAACCATTGTTTCAACTAATATATTATACATTTAAAGTGAACTTTTATCACAAATGAAATATCTCTATGAGGGAGTTGTGGCCAGCTTTGCACTTATTTGGATTTTCATTAGCTTTTCATTTTACTATTTATTTTCTCGTTCTTATATATCATTTTGGACGCAAACAACGTTTCCATATATTTCCTGAGAAACTATCATGACCACGGTCTAATTCCTACTGATTCGTTTGGATTTTGTAAGATCCAAAAAGCCAAGAGTTTACCCGTACACTTTGAGGGATCATTGTTGAATAAACGCTAAATGTAGAGTTATGTGTCAGTTTAATTTGGGGTTAGTTGGGCCACCAATTTCTTATAGTCGAAGTCCATTAAGTTATATTTTTCTTTTACTTGCAATTTAAGCAGCCAGGCCTTTACTTGTAAATAACAGCCGCCACACATTATATTCTTTTAATTTCATAATTAATTTCCAAATTTCCGTTTCGATTTCACAATAAATGTCATTTACTATATTTTTTTAATTCAAAAACTTTGAAATTCGAATATCACAATTAATGTCATTTACTATTTTCACTTAAGAAACACGGGAATAAATTAACTATTATTTACATTAACTACTATTTTGGACGGAAACGATCAGCCATGAAAAGTTTCTTTTTTTTTTGGTAAGCTAACTGTGAAAAGTTTCTTTAAGGTAAGCTGCTTTGCACTTTTTGGGTTTTTATTAACTTTTCATTGACAATAGAAATATTTTTCCATTTATTTTATTAATCTTATCATTTTAATTGGACGCAAACAATGTTTCCATATATTTTCTGAGAAAGTACCATGATCAGCGAGTGATTCCTACTGATTCGTTTGAATTTGGTAATTAAGATCGTAAAAGCCAAGAATTTTCCTGTACACTTTGAGGGATCATATGGAAATGATTGAGTATGCTGTGATTTAACCATAAAAATCACAGGATATGGGAGGTGATTAAAAAATTCATTAATTGCAAGAGGAATATTAATTTCTTGACTGTAGACTTCACCAGGCACACCCATCACTCGGCTTGGAGTTAGAATGAATGTTATGCGAGATGATAAAAAAAAATTGTTCCAATGGGTTTTTATTATTTTTGTTTTTATTGCATTTACATATATATAATTGATAATATTTCTTTTCTACTCTTTATGTTTGTAGATGGCGGATCAGGCGCGCAATGATGTTGCAATACAGATTGAAGAGAAGCTGGCCAATGTAGAACCTCTACTTCTTACAACTGAATGTTATATCTACAGGGTTCCCCATGAAATCCGCAAAATCAACAATGACGCATACACCCCAAAAGTTATTGCAATCGGCCCAGTTCACTATGGCAATGAGAGACTGCGAAACATGGAAAGCGACAAACGGTTATATCGCAAAAGATTCATAGAACAACGAGCTAAGACAAGCTTAGAGAGTTTGGTGAGCTGTGTGCAACATTCAGAATCAAATGTTCGTCGTTGTTACTAAGACAAGCTTAATGCTTTCTAAGTAACAACGACGAACATTTGATTCTGACTCTTGCACACAGCTCACCAAACTCTCTAAGCTTGTCTTAGCTCGTTGTTCTATGAATCTTTTGCAATATAACCGTTTGTCGCTTTCTATGTTTCGCAGTCTCTCATTGCCATAGTGAAAAGGGCCGATTGCAATAACTTTTCGGGTGTATGCGTCATTGTTGATTTTGCGGATTTCATGGGGAACCCTGTAGATATAACATTCAGTTGTAAGAAGTAGAGGTTCTACATTGGCCAGCTTCTCTTCAATCTGTATTGCAACATCATTGCGCGCCTGATCCGCCATCTACAAACATAAAGAGTAGAAAGGAAATATTATCAATTATATATATGTAAATGCAATAAAAACAAAAATAATAAAAAGTCATTGGAACAATATTTTTTTTTTATCATCTCGCATAACATTCATTCTAACTCCAAGCCGAGTGATGGGTGTGCCTCGTGAAGTCTACAGTCAATAAATTAATATTCCTCTTGCAATTAATGAATTTTTTAATCACCTCCCATATCCTGTGATTTTTATGGTTGAATCACAGCATACTCAATCATTTCCATATGATCCTTCAAAGTGTACAGGCAAATTCTTGGCTTTTACGATCTTAATTACCAAATTCAAACGAATCAGTAGGAATCACTCGCTGATCATGGTACTTTCTCAGAAAATATATGGAAACATTGTTTGCATCCAATTAAAATGATAAGATCAATAAAATAAATGGAAAAATATTTCTCTTTGAAAGATAATGAGAAAGAAGGAAAGGAAACCTTGAGGTCACCACCCCAAAAGCTAACTCAAGCGATGAGAGTGCCCAA